TTGACAATATAAAAGTTTTAATTGGGGTAACCGAAAGAAAAAAAGTTGAAGCAAGCATGGTAATTTTGTGCGCGTTTCAGTCAAAGATAAGATATCAACAAAGAATTGTTTCTCTAACTCTAACGTATAACACATAATGTATGGAAAGATATCATATTCACAGACAAGTTTTGGCACCACCATGCATAATTTTCAGAAGACATGAATTGTGGAGGAAGAAGAGCATCCCAGGTAATTTATGAAACCATATCCAAACAATGCATCATATAAACTCCAACAAGTTTCAATCTTTTTGGTTGTAAAGCCAACATTTGTACCAGAAAGGTTCATGCTTAGATGTTCCAACAACGTTAACCAAACCTGCATTCGTTAATTACTTCTCCATGTGTTCTCACTGCCTATTCAGTTTGACCTTGTTATGCATGTAAGCCAAATTACTCAAAATAAATTATGTTCCTCAAAGACAAGTAGTTAAAAGTGAATGATACCCTAAATCCTAAACCTGATATTTATAGTTATGTTAAATTTCTTTTGTAAGAAAATACTAAAAGCAGGTGGTTGCATTTTCTGCAAGTGAAAGAAACAGGAGAAAGGGAACCAACATATATCAACAAAATTGAAGTCTAAGCATTTTTTTTGTTGAAAACAAAATATTGATATCTAGATTAGGCCAAGTAAAAGGAATTATATCAAATCACATAAACCAACAATGGATTCTTCCTTGATTAGATCTCCAGAAGAAAAGTCAAATCCTACTTGTTCTGAGTTGGATTTGGGACACTTGATGGTGCTTTCCTCAAGCTTGGCTCCACAGCTTTCTTGGTCTGTTTTTTGTTTTCACTTGGTTTACTTTTACTTGTGGGAACTGAACCAAAAGATGAAGATAGCAGCTTCCTTGACAGACTTGTCTCACTTGAAAACCTCTGCTCATGGTGGACACAGAAAGTAGAGAACAAAAGAAAGTGAACAAGCACCAAGGCCAACACAGCAGCCAAAAATCTGCACCTGATGTTCTTCATGAGAAACTGAGAATGGTCTCTGCAGAAGCAGTGTAAGATGTAAGATGTAATAGTACTAATAATTTTAGAGAGTTTGATCAGGCTAATATATGAAAAGCAATGAACATGCTTTATGCACGTGGTTCACCATTACTTGCATTATATTATGTATCACAGGGGAAAAAGACATAATAGCTGCTTAGACAACAAGCATGTTCATATATACAAAATGGGAGGGTCAAGGGGTTTAGGTTGAAATTTGGAAGGTGTTTGCTTCAATTAATGATGTATTTATCATAATTTTCACCAAACCATTAATCAAGTGAATGGTAACTGGTAAGAAGATTGTGATTGGTGGGGTTGGAGGGCAAGGAAAGACAAATTCAAACTACCATGTGGAGCATATATGACTAATGTTGTTCATTACTTTGTTTCAATCTTAAAACACATGTTAAACCAAGAATATTCTTGTGATATGACATGTGCATCTGAGCCAATTACCTTCTTAATCCATGTTCTCAGCTTTGTCAATGAAAACCATGGTTTAATCATCACTTTTAGTTAAAACAAAAATCTTCACCCTGGACCAGATATTTAGCAGAGTAGAATTCCTTTCACACAGCAATACCTTTCTTGAGTATACCGTGTGCCTAATAATTTCTGTTTCGTCATCTTTCACCATTTTTAAAATGCCATCATGTTTTCAGTACAATCATGTGAAAACCTTACACCTTATTAGGTATATTATTACCTACAAGATCTTCTTGCTCAATAAACTACAAAGCCTTGTTTCAATTTTTAACCCAACTATACTTAGCTAGCATGTCAGAAGCATTTGAAAAAACTGTTACTCCTTTAAGATCTAAACTTGCCAAGATCTTAGTACACAAGATTCCTCTGGTTTTCCTGGGATTGGAAGATGAGATGAGTATAAGCTAAGAAACTCAACGCTCTGTGAGATTTTTATTTAATCCTCTCACATGACACAGTCCCAGTAGCCATCTTGAATATATATATATATATATATATATATATATATATATATATATATATATATATATATATATATATATATATATATATATATATATGAAGATTCCTGATACTAAGTTCTAGTGTGAAAGATAAGGCGCTTAGTTTCATTAGTCAAAGGCTACAAAATTTTTTAAAACTGGTATCCACAAAAATGGTTAATATTTGACTGTTTCATGTTCTGTGGTGACCAGATCTTGGACCAATCTTGCTTTCTTGATTCTATCATTATTTGATACCATTGGCAAGACATGCTTATGCAAATGCAGTTGTCATGTTATGTATGTGTTAGTATTACCTCCTAGTTCAAGAGATCACTTCTTGTTGGTTGCACCAAAACGTGTGTTTTAAATATTCCTGTGACAATTGTTTGAATATATTTTCTTGAATCAGATGTAAATAAACCTCAAAACCCATAGGCCAATGAGGTTCTCTCCTAAAACGTTTCTTATTCAAAATTGAGAGTCAAAACTACAATCCATTACTTCTCAAAAACATAGTATCTACTCGTTTTAATATTCATTCTTAATGTTTTTAATAAAATTACATTCACAGTACTCTTTCTAGTTCTCAAATATATATTTGTTTCTATTTTTCTTAATAAACAACACTCACCTCTTTTATATTTTTAATAAAATATACTTAATTGCTTTAGTTTATGTAAAACAATATTAATTAAAATGTAAATAAATTATCATAAAAACTTTAAATTAAAAATATAAAAATTAAAGGAATAATTATTATAATCTCATTTCTTCTGTATTGTTAATAAAAAAATCGTATTTATATTCTTTTTACATTTTTTTCTCTTTTTATCATTATATCATATAACTATTTTGTTTAGAAAATAAGTTTTATTTATAACTTTTTTTACACATTATTCTTCTAAAATATGCGCACATATATTTGTTTTAAATTTCTTTCTGAAATTAATTAATATTATTTGTTATTACAACATATATTGCAATGAGTTCCGTATATATATAGTAATTAATAAAAACGTGTTTATCTTATTAAAAATAACAAAATTTTATTTGATAACATTTATTATATAGTAAGAGATATATGATTTTGTAATAATTAATTTAAAAATAACCTATAAAGTTATAGTATAGAAATCTTCACTATAATAATATATTAATATTATTAAAAACAGTCTAATATATATGAGGACTATGAGTAATGAAATATGAATATTTTTATATAATTTTTTTAACTTTTCTCTTTAATTACAGTTTTATATTTTGAAAATAAAATCAAATAATACTTTTAAGTTTTAATTATATATTAATTAAATAATTATACATTTTAATTTGTCCTCACGTAAATCATATTAATATTTGCATTTGTAACAAAACATAATAAAATTATGGAAATAAGAAGGTTATTTTAGTAAATAACATATTTATTGTTATTTTATTTCCCTTAAGAAAATTGTATAAAGTTTATATTCCAAACTTCCATAGTTATGAATTAAAGAAGTATCATATAATTAATGTTATTTTCAATGTTTGGATGAACTCAACGAAGATTTTGTGACTTTCATTAAAATATAAATTATTTTTCAATTAAAATGTTGCTATTTTAATGTGAGTCTCATGAATTTTAATTTACTTTAAAAGGGTCTCAGTGTATCATATTAATTTTAAGCAATTCTTCTAAATTTTACTGTAATAGTGATATTTTATATGATCTATAATTCATTTGCAATTCAATTTTATATAATTTAAAAAATAATCTAATTATTATAATTAAGTATTAATTTAACATTGCTGAAAAAAATCATTTTATTTTATTTTATTTTAAGATCCATATTTTAATTTTAAAATCTCATGCCACATCAGTATGATTTATGTTTTAAAATTTTTGCTAAGAATCTTACATTAGCAATATTCTAAACAATGTCAAGAATCTATGTTTGCGTAATCTATTAAAACAACATTTTTATTAATAAAAGATTCTTATAGGAAATACTTTCACCATATTTATTATTTTTCAATATACATATCCATCCATACGATTGTCTATGAATTATTATTTCCATTCTTGTTATAAAAAAAACTACATTTTTATTCTTAAATATAAATAAATTTTAAATATTTTATTTTATTTAATTAATTAATTTTTGTAATCTATGTTAAGCTTACTTTTTTTTTTTCTTTACATCCTCTAACAGATAAACCCCATTTCATTTGTCCCAGTGGTTGCTACGGTTCCTTCACCAAACCAAAACAAAAAACTATTTTTCTATTTTCGCTTTTTGTGTCCACTGGACTCGTCTCTACTATATAACTCCTACGAGGAACACATCCAACACCCTCTGACCCTGTCCTTTTCTCTCTCCCAAACTGTAAACTAAAACCCATTTTCTTCTCCAAAGCCTTCGACTTTCATCAACGAAACGCGCTTCCGAGCACTTCTTCTTCGTTCTCCCACCCATTCTCCAAACCTTCTTGCACTGTCATGTTCCGACACTCCCGGTGAGCCCCATTGTCCTTTCTCTCCCACTCCATCCAAATAACCTTCTAGGGTTTTCTTTTCTTATTACCTCAACCTGTCGAATAAGTTGTGGGAAGAAAGAGTTTTTTTTTTTAAACTTATATAGCGATTATTAAAATTGCTGCACGTGGGGTCAATGATTTTTAAATGGTTGTTATTATGTTGAAGATGATTGTTTTAGGGACTTTCCTGAAATTGGGTACTGTGACATTGATGTGCACATTTTTTTCAGCTAGGGTTTAAGTTTAACCCTTATTTTACTGAATTGACACTTTCAGAATATAAATTGAAAAGTGCTGGAGACGAAAATAAAATCTTTTAATGGAGGGTGTGTGAATTCTTCTGGCTCGTGTATACAATGTTAATGTCGATTGTGTATATAGATTTGTGATGATAATAATGCAAATAGATACCCTTCTATTGGTATTGAGCATATGCTTAGTAATTTATTAATGTGTGAAGATAGAGAGCATGGTTGGTGCTACATATTACTGTGGACAAACGGTTACTGAGGTTAGTTTTTTGTGGTGTGGGGGTATGGAGATCGTGTTAGTTGGTAAAGCTTGAACATAAACCAAGTGAGCAATTAGATACTCGTGCTTACGGATGCAGCACTTATTTATGAATGCATGAAACTGGAATTGTATACCACAGGTTTATACGAAGGAAACTCTTTCTGGGATGGCTTTTTTTTATTTTGTTTGTGTAGGGCGTGCAGTGTGGGTGAAGTGTGTTAAGTGATCGAGGAGGTTGATAAGGAGCGAAAGTTGGTGCTGTAGGTGTTTGAAGGTACCAAATCTATGTTTCAGTTGAGATCTGCAGGATAGAAGAAATTGTAAAATGAAACTCCAACCCTAATGCATGAAACCTCTAAAGATGCTTTCCAGAACCTTGCACTTGGATCATAATTTTATCTTTTTAACATCAAAATTCTTTCATCGTAAAGTAGGTGTTGTGTGTGGGCATTAAAATTTGTATGTGTAGAAGCCTGCTCACATTTTCTGCCAGTGCTTTTCTTATTCTTGTAAATTGAATCATAGTTTTATTACCCATTGTCAAAACATATAAGTCCCGTGGAATCAATCATTTGAGTTGTTCAAATTGCTGAATAAACTTGAAAATGAAAAATGAAATAGATTAGAAGGGGCAGGGAGGTAAAGATCATTGACTGTGTGTGTATGATCATTGGTAAAATTGGAAAAGAGCATATAAAGAGTCACGAGTCCTCTGCTTTGAGAACAAAGAAATAATTTGTTTAGCCTGAATTCACTTATAAAGAGACTTCTCTTCCAATGCGTGAATACCTAACAAAAAAAGCTGAACTTTGAATTTGCAAATGGGCCAGTGCTGTTTCTTTAATTAAATCCTTTTGCATTAAACAATTTTAGGTACTGCTGATGATCTTTATCCCTCAGATCAAAATAGAGTTCTGAGAGGTAGCAATGTTACCGGCAATGGAAAATCTTCTGTAGGTTCTGTTACACACTCTAAATTGCATTGTGACATGGAGGCTCAAATTCATCAACTTGAACAGGAAGCTTACTCTGCTGTCTTGCGTGCTTTCAAAGCTCAGTCTGATGCTCTTACATGGGTAGATATAATTAGTTACCTCCATGTATTTTTTTATTATCTTTTTGTTTTCCTTTGTTAAAGATTTATCTCATGTATTTTATTTTATGTGTTAATCAGGAGAAGGAAGGTTTGATAACTGAGCTTAGAAAAGAGTTGAGGGTTTCAGATGATGAACACAGAGAGCTTCTTACCAGGGTTAACTCTGATGAAATAATTCACCGCATAAGGTATGAAAAATATTTAAATAGTTAAAATAGTGTAGAAGAAAAGAATTATTATTGGCAGTTGTTCTGCTACATTTATAATGTTATGTGATTGAAAATTCAATCAGGGAGTGGAGACAAACTGGCTGTTACCAACCTGCAAGGCGCAGCACTTCTCAGCCTGTTCATGATGTTTTACCTAGTCCAACTGTTTCAGCTTCCCGAAAAAAGCAGAAGACATCCCATTCGGTACCACCTTCTATTTTATACTATGTGATCTGATGTGGTCTTTGACAGCACCTTTTTTTTTTCATACTCAGTGCTGCACTTTTAGGGGGTGCTTTAGGATCCAGAGGCCAAAATCCATAATTGCACCACGGTTAAATTCTTTCGTTGAAAAATACAAAAAAAGATTTATTAATGTCTATCTGGTTTTAATTTTCCATCAATATTGGCACACCAGGGTCAGTCCTTGCCTGCTTTATCTTCGGTCAAGTCTGTACAGTATACTTCTGCTGGACCTACTGGAGGTAGGCATTTTGCAAATCGCAATGCTAGTGCTCTTGCATCCAATGCACCTGCCGAAGCAGCAGCCTTTGATCCATTGATTGGGAAGAAAGTTTGGACTAGATGGCCTGAAGATAACCACTTTTATGAGGCTGTTGTAACTGATTACAACCCTGCTGATGTATGTTTAGATCTTAAAATAGTTCTGATATGCTTGATTATTGCTTTTTATTTTACCTGGCGAACACATTTGAATGCTCAGTGGACTGATTATTATTTGAATTTGTTGTTTAGGCCCTTTAGAGTGACTTATGTAGTAGAGTTTTTTTTCCCACATGTAAGATGCCTTTTCCTTTTTTTGGTTCGGTTTCCCCATATACAGATTACAGAGAATGAACAGAATGCAAACTTTTTATATTTATTTCATTTAGGATAAATCTGTCTCTCTTTGTTGGTTTTAAACACTTGTAGAATATATGATGAAGGAATCGCCCTTTAATCCAGATGGAAATAAAAATTCTGAAATGTGATTAGGGCCCAATCCTGAAAGTGCATGGCAGCATGATGGGCTTTTTTCAATAACTTTTCAGTAATTTTTTATCCAAACTTTTGGATTGTGTCTTCCTTGCAGGGTCGGCATGCTTTGGTTTATGATATTAATAAAGTACATGAGACTTGGGAATGGGTTGATCTCAAAGAGGTATATATTCCTATGTTGTGCTGCATACATAACAGCAGTAATAAATTGGGTTTTAAAATTTTCAGTTACATTTAGCTTAGGATTAGCTAAAAATGTTAGTGAAAAGATTATCATCTAATAATATGAAATAACTACATGTAATACTTTTAAAGATGGCAACATAGATGGTGAGCAAATGATTTCTGGGTCTCTAGCACCACCTTAGAAAGTGAATCTAGAAGGCAAGTTTTGTATATGTTTAAGTACCAACGAGACACTGAGAACATAGATTAAAGGGTACCGGAATGATAAGATTTGCACAACTCTCCATAAAAAGCAGTTTATTATGGCCCAAAACTAAAGCTATTTCATCCATCATCCTTATATTGGCCTTTAGATCCTTTTATCTCGTCTTAGTCGTTGGCACCCTGGCTGAAACATCATACTCCAATAGATTATTCTTGTTGGTGTGTAACATGTACCTTCTACGTTTTATCTCAACTTTTAAATGAGGGTCATACTTAACTTGTTAAGTATAGAAAGGTATATAATCAATGATTATGAAAGCTGGTGAATTCATGCTCTGGCACTTCGAAGGGTGCATTGTAGAATCCATTGCTTATCTTCTCTGATCCTGTGTAAAGTTAGTCAAATTTAGAGTCAAATGCATCATTTTCCTTCTTCATTTGTGCCTCATTTATTATCTCTTCAAGGCAAACTCATTATGCACTTGTTTGGAATACCATTTCAAGGATAAAGGAAACTGCTTCCATATAGATTGCGGTTGGTGAACTTTTCAACTTCATCCATTGGTGATTTTGATAGGTCGGTTAATAGTTTTGTTAGTAAGTTAAGTTAGTTTGTCAAAGAAATACAAGGGAATATGTTAGAAAGAAGGGAAATGGGCGCGTTAAGGGTGGGTTTATGTTAACAAACCTGTAGCTGTATATAAATTGAAAGAGGGGTTGAGAGGGAGTTATCGTGACATTTAAGACAGAATTTTGGCTCTGTATTAGGGGAGAAATCCCTTATCCTTTCTAATAAGATATCAGATTCCACGATATTTGAACAAAAAAACAAAAGCAACATACTGACTCAACATTAGACTAGAATACTGTAAAATATTTGAAATTTTATTTGAGAAAATATGGGGGGTATTGAGTTTTTATTTATTTATTATTATTATATTATTATTATTATTAATTTAAAACCTTTAAAACAATGAGAAATTCATAATCTAACATAGGGTAATAATAATATTTAGGAATTTTTATCATAAAGCTTTGTGTTTTGGAGCAGTTGAACCTAATTTGGGTTAAATTACAGAATGCAAATTGCTCTGTTCATTGGGATATTCAGTGTCTTAAGACTTATAACATACAATTGTATATTGATTATGATTATAATCTTTTAATATTTTTGGTTGATGTGGGAGCCTATTTGTTTGTGACTGGTTCATGATCTAAGACGATTACAATATTTTTTGTGTGGAAGGGGCGGGAGGGGGGGAGGGTATAGGTGTAAAGTAAGGTGTCCCCAACACCCTATTTGAGTGATAATTTTTGCTAATGTGCATACACCCTCGTGCACTCTGAATTTGTAAGCTGTTTGTGCAAAATCATGTTTCTCATTATGCTACAAATCTCTGGATTACATAAGGTAGTTGCAAATGATATGACTATTTCTACCCTGAAAGAAATTATGATGCAACAGGCATGTAGATATAAGTTTGTGAAAATGATCTTTCATATTTTATGGACAAATAAAAATATACCATATCAATCACAGATCTCACCTGAGGATATAAGATGGGAAGGTGAAGAACCAGGCATAATCCATAGAGGTGGACATAGCGGGCACGGTCGTGGAGTTAAGAGATTTTTTGGCCATGGTGGTGATACTTTAGGCGCTGGAAGAGGGAGAGGTCATCCCAGGCTTCATACCAGACAAGAATTTCACCCACCACAAAATGGCATTGGGAAGAGAGTTTTGGATGACATCGAGTTGCTGAACACGGATTCTCTAGTTAAGGAGGTAATATGATATGCCTAAGCGCATCCTCTTTAAAACTAAAAGAAAAAACAGCGTAGGTTTTTTTATTTTTTGTAACATTAATGTCATAACAGGTGGAAAGGATTTTTGCTACAAGTGCTCCAGATTCAATGGAACTTGAGAAGGCAAAGCAAATGCTGAAAGTAAGTCAACCATCAATCATGCGTATCCTTTCTGCAAACCTTTATGCCCATTGTTGTTGTTCACACACTTGCTTTAACTGTTTATAGGAGCATGAGCAAGCACTTGTTGACGCCATTGCAAGGATTGCAGATGCATCTGATGGTGAAAGTGGTAATAATTAGCCGTCTACATAAACATGCTGCTTACTGTTGTATATTGAAACCTCTTATTTCTTTCTGTAAGACAATAAATTAACCTAAATTAACATTTTTGTAATTCAATAAAATCAACACAAATTAACGTGAATTAACATTTTATTATACGACCGTATCAGATTTAAGCAATTTTCTAACTGGGGCAAAACATTTATGCAATTATTTTTTGTCAGAATAGATGTACTAGCTAGTGTAACCAGGGGCCTTTATTGTTGTAGTTAATGTTTGGCTTAATATTATTTTGAGAAAATAGCTTTTTTTTTTAAAGAAAAAAAGCAAACAAAACATGTTCGTTCATATTTAATAAAATTGTTGTAGCATTGTCATACAGTGTGATAATTGTTTGCACAATTGGTGATCACGATCATTAATTATACTTATGTTTTAAAGATCAAGCACAAATGTGTTTTATGTATATCACAATTACAAATTAATTAAAAGGGTTGTAATTGTGTAACTTTTCGCTGTGCCTTATTGACAGATGAAGAACAGCCGTTCTTGCAGCATGGACAGTTAATAGAAAGGGGATAAGAATCAAGGAAACACTGCATGTTGGAGTTAATCTGTTGCACAGGAAACATTATTTTTAAGCTTTGATGAAGACTCATGACAGTCCAATTTTGGATGGATAAATGCGTGGTCAGCTTATGCACTTGTATGATCCAGTAGCAGCAAATGGTCAAGGTGGTCTTCTTCTTGCTGATGCATTTTCTGTCATTTATTTATTACCCTTTCTGACTGTTGCCACACGTGCAAGTTTTGTACTTAATGACGATTTTGAATAGAGAGCCCCTCAATTTATCAATTGTCAGGCACATCAATATACATGTTTCAGTCTGCACGGAGCTGTAAAATACTTAAAAGTAAAATACTATAAATTAACTTGTCATGAATATCATTTGACTTGTCCCTCTAACAAATACTATCACCTTCTGTATTCCTGGAAAGAAAGCACGAGTATTTGATTATCAGTATGACAATTCCTATGATACCAAATTAGAAGACTAGCAATGTAAATCTGTATCAACTTACACGAACATGGAGGTCAGCACGGACTCAAATTAGCAAATCAACTAACCAAAGGAAGACTTCGTAAACTACCATCAGACACATTGATGCCCATCAGTTTTCAGAAGAATGGTGACAAAAAAAGGCCTAATCCCTATAGCCGTGGTTAATACTACAATTAAGATGCATCATCTTTTTATGGAAGAGATATATCCTTCTATAGGTATTTGCTTCCTTTATGAAATAACAACACAATAATAATGAACGTAGATGATTATGGTCATCCAAGCACAAATCAGTACTACTCCAACATAAAGCAATGAAGCCTACCACATCACCTGGAATAGTTTGATCTATCCATCCATGACAACAAGAGCAAATTAGTAATTAATTGACTACCTCGGCATTACTACAGGAAGAAGTTATCAACGATGATGGATTGGATTCTCTAGAAACCAGAGATACACAAAGTAGACACTTTAAAATCGTAGCAGTGACTAAGATTACTATGCTCAGTTTATGAAGTTGATTCAGAACCTGAAGGATATTATTATAAGTTAAATTCACATGCAATATCGTGTTGTTAATGTTATGCATAAAATTAGATTTTCACCTGATTAACCCAAATTATAAAGGATGTAGAATCAACTTTAAACGAATTACCAAGCTGAAACCATAATTTTTTTTATTGAATCTTCTGTATATATACAAGTCCAGTTAGATGGAATCCATTTTTCTAATTTTACTTAGATTAAACCAATCTTATTGTCACTTGAACCAATGTTAGGTGAAATGATTGGAGAACAAGAAAATTGACGAAATCTTACTTTAGATTAAATCAAACCTAGACAGGACCAATGTTCAGTGAAATGACTGGAGAACAATAAAATTGACGAAATTTGACTTTCAATTTTTTTAGTTAAGTCTTCCTTGTCAAAATTGGAAGCCAATATCTAGTTTAAAAAATCTAAATTCAGTTTTACTTGCATCAATAAAATGTTAGTGTTTTCGGGATGGAATATACAGGTCAGTAATTGATCGAACAAGGCAAAAAAGCAAAATAAAATTTCAAAAAGAAAAATCTTTTGTAGTACAAACTTCTGCCTTAAGTCATGAATATGTGGATGTCATACACAACCAAAATGCACAGAACAGAAACATAAACAAATGTTAAGAAATTCAATCCTTCGACTTCAACTAACGATTCAGTGCACTATAAAAATGTATCAGAACCCGAATGACTGAAATCCTCGTAAGCATTGTCAAAGTCCACGAAATTTGACTACAATCTAAACGACAGGTTCAAGCGAAAAACAGAACAACCGACACGCTATCAAGGGAGGATTTGAAGATACCTGCAAATTTTGAGCAGTTTAAAGAGATCTGTGTCCTCCGAAATCGTCCCGAAACGATGTCGATCCGATGCCGACCCGATGCTCTTACTTTCGTTTCGTTCGAGCTTCAAAGATCCTTAGCTGAAGAGGTTGTTAAGGTTTGTTGATGGTTTATGTGGTACCAATACGGCGTGCTTCTGCGCAACGTGTTACGAAATTGGAGATGGGAAAAGGAAATGCCGAAACAGTGCGCACTCGCGTGGGACCCACACACGGAATCACCGTTCGCGACATTATTTGGGATGCGGCAAACACCTAATTATTATTATTAAGGATTCATAACAATTTCTAAAAAATTAAAATAAATAACTTTTCCTTAATTAAAATTGTATTCCGTGTAAATATATTGTGTAGGTTTACAAATTATATGCTCCAATTAACATGATAATAAAGACTTTGTATGCATTTAATCTCCTTTACTAACAAATAATTAATGCAATATAATTACATTATTATGAGGCAACTCTCAGTTGTTTTATCATGCATCAAACAACCCTGAGGAAAGTTTATAATCAATATCTCTTTTCATTTCTCTCTTTTTTTTTCCATTTTTTACCTAAACTAACAACATATTAATCTCCGTGAGAATATATGATTATCATGTATTTAATATCCTTTTAATTCAAGTTTATTCAAATTGCAACCCATTCGTTTCCCTCTTCTTTGTAATATTCTATTACCAATAATTGGACAATTTCTTCCGACAAATCTGCATCATCTGAACTAATAGCTGGCAGCAACAGTGCCAAATTTAATTTTGAAATTAGAAATATGACAGCAACATCAAATTGAATTTCAATAATTCAATTCCCTCCCGAACCACGAAGCTCTAAGCAACAGAAAACTCAGTCTCTTGAAAGAATGTGATATTGACTCTGAAGTATCAACCAAAGTAAAAAATCCAATTCTCTCCCAACCCAAAAATCTCAATGCAACATCAAGAACCCAATTTCTTCAAATATCTGACATTGAACGTGAATCAAATGTTGAAAGTTGAAATTGCCTCCGAAAACCAAAATCACTATGCTCCAACAAGAAGAATCTCAATCTTTTCAACGAATATCTGACACAGCAAAAACAACTGAAAGTTGTAAACAACACACACCAAAAACTAAGCTCGTATTGCAACTCAACAAGTCTGTCAATTCCCTGAAAGAAATGCAGGATCTAAAGAGCCATTGCCACTTATTCAATTCTTCAAGTACCACTGCCCCCATCAATCTCACACATTTGCCTCGTTCTCTGTAATCATCTTGCAATGTTGAACTCACTAACATGAATCAAATCTTATCACAATACTTCAAATAAGTTACCAAAATGAATAAGTTTTCTTTCCCGTCACAATATTCACAGCAAACCAAACGTTCATCTACCACTAACATTTAAATTTCACGCGTGACAGTGACAACTACACCAATTCATAGTCTGAATTTGCTTATTTTCATGATCCTCCATTCATAGCTTCAAAATTGAACACAAGAACAAGCCATGACGAACCAACCTATATATCATAACATATATTACACTAAAGAAGAAAATTTCGCAGCTTCAAAACTGAAATTAAAAATTTTGAAAGAGAAAAACACAATTCTACCCACCCCAAAAAAATATAGACAATATATCATAAAAAAACATTATTTTTTCAACGGATTAAAATTCAAGCACCAGAAGGGGCACCTCCCATCAACGCCTTCTTCAATTCCTCACTCGCTTCAGCCTCCGTCGATTTCCCTGAAAAACTGCCATAATCCGATGTCGTTTTCTTCTCGTTCCTTTTAGGGGTTTTCCACTTACTAAACTCTGAACCTCCGCTTCGGACACCAACAATTTCTCGCCGGAGATCCTCCACGGCGTTTCTCAGCAACCCGTTTTCCGTCTGAAGAACCTCCATCTGCCGCTTCACCGCGAAGCAAGCCTCCGCCACGTCAGCACTCGTCGGAGCTGCTGCCTCAGGTCCACCTCCGGCGCTCGCCCTACCCTTCCTCGCCTCGCCACACTCCATCATGTGCTCCACACCGATCTTGTCCATCACGAGAAACGGAATCCGCTGGAACGCGCCATCGCCCTTGAACTCCGACGGAACCCTAACGCCCCAGCGGAACTTCACGGCGGCGCGCCCCCGTACGGGGAGTGTTGTTCGGGCGGAAACCTCCACACCGGAGAACATCCCCGCGACTGCGCCGGCGGCGCGGGAGTTCGTGGCCAGCACAGGAATCTTCGCGCCAACAAACGACGGCGTATCGACTTCAACGCTTTCGTTCTCGACGACGTCGTTTGGAGCGTTGCAGAACCCTTTTCCGTCGAAGATCGAAGTCTGCGTCTTCTTGAAAGTGAAGTCACCGAAGCGGGGTTTGAAGTGGAGCATGAAGAGCGGGGAACCGGTTCGGCCGGGGAGGTTGAACTCGCAGCTCATGAGCATGGAGCTCTTGAGAGGGGAACCGAAGGGTCCGGTTCCCGTTTTCACTATGAGCGAGAAAGGGTTCTTGGAGTCGTTAGGTCGATACGCGACTTTAAGTGAAGGACCGGATTCGAAGAAAGTTGAAAGGTTTAGAGTGAGTTCTTTTGGATCGCCAGCGACGATGCCGGATTGGAAGGGCATGCCGAGTACGCTGAGGGGCACCTTGGCCCTGAAGAGGGGCTTCTGCTGTTCCTCGCGAAACTTGAGAGAGGCTTTCATGGTTGATTGGAACCCTAGGTTTGATTTGCGGGGGGTGTGATGGGGTTTGTTGAATGCCTTCAAGAGTGAATGTGTGAAGAAATCAGAATAAAATGTGGATACTTTGCGGAGATTCTGCCGAGAGACTGTTATGGGATTTGTAAATTTGATTTCATCCTGTTTTGGTTGTAGTTAGATTGGAGGGACCGTAGGTTGCACTGAAAGGAGGGATCATGTTTGTGTCTGTAGTTCATAATTTTGGGCCTTTGGATTGTTGTAATGCACAAATAATCATGGGTTTGTAGAAAATTATGATTTTTTAATAATTTTTTTTATATATATAAATTCTATTTGGATTTTATATTTCATTTTGTATTTGGATATATACATGTAAACAAATTTAAAATATTGAAGATTGGTTAATACAAATACAGAAGGAATATCATCTTTATATATGTATATATATTTGTTTTTCTAACTTAACAAAACAAACTCCTTCCTTGTTGCAATTTTACCTTTTTTATATATTTTTTAATTACTTTAATAGTTTTCTTCTTTCATTTGCTATTTGTACGAATTTATCTCATACTCAATTTTTTTTTCATATTTTTGTCCTATAAAAAATTCAATTATTCTTCTTCTTCTTCAGCTTATTGTATACTCCTATTCCAATAAATGGTAACTATTAACACATTTACATTTTAACATTATCAAGGTGGGAGAAGGCTAAATTTCCAGAGTAAGAGTATAGTGGGTAGAAAACAAAAAATGAGAAGAGGGGAATGCAAAATAAATAAATAAAAAATTTAGTAAAAAGTATTATCATTCAAAGTGATATAAAAAAATTATTTAAATATAAAAAAATTTATATAATTACTAATTAATTCCTTATCAATAACATATTTTTAAAGTAATACTTTTAAATTATATATCTCATTTGTTTTAATATATAATTATAATTTTTTTTCTAAAATTATCTAAAATTAAATTAATAAAATAATATCATATTGTAATATATATATATATAATTAAAATTATATATATTAAATTATAAATATAAAATAAATAATCATTTGTTTAAATAAAAAATATTTTTTATTATTTTTTCACTCTATAAAAAAATATGTTCGCTATAATAAAAAATAACATTTTATCTTTCTTACTTTTTTATTATTGAATAAGATAAATAATTATTTTTTTACTTTAATATTTTTTTAATGATCGGAGTCTAAGTAATCATGATTATAATTTTTCTTTAGTCACCCTATTTAGTCTGTAACTGAGATATCAACTTTTACTTTACATCCTCCTAATTATATTTCTTTTTTGGTAATATGACATTGCAACAATTTTTAATATATATGGAGAGATGCTTTTAAATTTGAATTTTCCAATTATCTCAATCTTGTGTTGTGATTGAAAACATACAATTATAATAGAGTTATGTATAATAGAGTTGTCTTATAATTTCAAATCTCTGTCAATATAAAAATTGAAACTTTGTAGAAGTTAACTTTTTTTATTTTTCTAACATTTAAGTAGTAAATCTCTATTGAAATGAAACTCAAGTTACAGTGTGGCAGAGCTAGCTAAGGAAGACTCTACCTCGTTTAATTTTTGTTTTGGTAAGTTAATTAATCTCATTTTATCCAATATCTTACTGTTTTGGGAAATTTATGTAATTAAATTATTTGTTAGTAAATATAAGTTATAAAAAAATGTTAAAAATTTCTCAAAAATATATGAATATTTTTTTAATGATATCTATAAATAAATTAGACTTATATAAATTACAAATATTATCAGATTTAACGTAAATGATTTTTAACAAGATTGAATAAAATAGCATCAAATTTAAAATAGAGAAATAATTTGTATTCACGTTATATTACCTTTTTAAATAGTCGTGTCGGCAAAACATCGTATTTTAAATATGTTTTCTAAAATTCAATATTTTATTATTTTATTTTATTTTTCTTCTTCATTTGTTATTATATTTTGATTTTTGTTTCTATCAACTATCTACTCTCTATTGTTCTTCAATTCATTAATTATAATAATAATAAAAAAAATTATTTATTTTTAAGTATATTATTTATTCTTTATTTTCTATTAACTATTTTTTTAATAATAATACAATTTAATAATCACAAAATAAATGATAGACTTGATTCACCCGTCAATAAAAAAGAATAAAAAAGGATTAACCTCACATTTATTATTGTAATTTTAATAGTATATAACATAATATTTTATTTTTAATTTATATTTCTACCATAATTATTTATCTATTAAAACATAACTTAAATACAGTGTATAATAAATAATTTATTTAGTTATTAATACTTTTTAAATAACAATTAAAAATACCTTTTCAAACTTGAACATTTATTATAGAAAAAAATATATCAGATATATAAAAATAAAAAGTATTTTATTAAATTTAAAGTTGATTGAATTTTTTTGTTGTCAATTTTTGTAATTAAAATGTTTATTTTATAGGATAAATAAATCTATAAAACAAAAAATAATAACATATATTTTATTTTTAAAATTACATAAAATTAAAATGATTAAAAATATTAACTTAAAAATTAGCATGCTAAAAAAATGTCAAGCTTATATATTTTTTTATAATACTTTATTAAATAAGTGATTTTTTAAATAAATATATATTTTAAAAATACTTATTTTAAGTTAAATAATATCAATTATAATTGATGATCTTAAAAATCTTAAAATAATAAAGAAACGTAATTATTTGACAACGAGAAATCAACAAAATCAATATAAAAAAATATTATCCTTATATTAATAAAATTAATTGTTATTTATTAAATCAATAGTTTTAACAATCTTACAATTCATTGTCACTCTTACATTATAATATTTTTAAAATATTTTATTTATTTACCAATATTTATGAATTATATTAAAAAAATCAACAAAATAACACACCCTTCAACCTTTCACTTTTGATAAAATAGCCAAATTAAAATTTATAAAAAGAAAAAGTAAAACCGCCAGGCAGATAAAAAGAAAAAATGAAAATGGAAAAGAGTGTCCTTGAAACCGAGAAAGTATAGAAATAGTGCGGAAATAAACGCTGCGTTTTATGATGTCCAAGTCAGGTGAAGAAGCTACTCTGTCTACCTCGCCTCGCGTGCGTGGCTTCTTCTAATTTCTTCTCTCCGCTTCTCCTTCTTCTTCCTCCTCCTTCTCCTCCTCCGCGTTAGGTTTTTTTCATGCTCACACTTCACATCGATTTTTTTTCTTATTCTCATTCTTCTTCTTCACCCTCACTTTCTTCTTCCCAGCCCCTATTCCTCTCATCCATTCTCGATTTCTTCAATTCATCGTCCGATAAGGTACAGTTTCTTCTCCTCGACGTGTTTCTCGTTTCTTCATGCATTGTCTCCTGTTATTGTCTTAATATTTAACCGATATGTTGCGCTGCAAACAGATACTTTTGGTGCTTTCCTTTTGGTCTCCGCGATGGCCTCCAAAGGTCCCAGGTCTAAGATTGATCATGAGAGCAGAGCCAAACGGCAAAAGGTTAGTTCACGATTTCGTCTTCTCAGTTGTTGTTATTGACGTTTTACTTTCCTTTTTATATATATTTTTGTGTGTTATAATCTTTCGGGGTTGAATGAAACTGTAGTTACTGGCTGAGAAATTGAACAAAAAAAACTCAGTTAATTAAGACAATTGAGATTCTGTCTAGTTCCTCTTGAATGCAAAATGTACCACCTGCATGTTTTGTAATTATATGTTTTTATATATTTTTCTTGGTTTGGTGTGGTAGTTTTGGCGTTAGATGAAATTTTAATTGCTGGTTACGATGTCTTGCTTGGTTTTTTTCCACTTCGTACTACGCATGACCTTTTGGTCCTTTGTACTGTTTGCTTTGTTTGTGGTGTGTAAACAATGGAGAAGGAATTCAGAATTTGGGAATACTTGGTAGTTAAATAGAGTACAACTACTGTAATATTACTTGTGACTAATACAAAAAAAAGAACGATAGGAGTTAGAAAGCAGGCAGTAGAGGCATGGAATGGTCCATAGGTTTTATTTATATGGTGAAAGCAATTATGTTAGCTATGCTTTAAATCGTTAACATAAGTTGCTGAAGATTTGTCCTTGGTTTTATGGATAAGGATAACAAACCCATGCTTTGGTATGAGAATAAAATGTTCCTATTATGGACATGTAGACTATATGAAGTGAGAATTAATCCTTGCAGTTTAATATTACATGGATGGTTAAGATTAGTTTTATGCGAAAACCAATTTCGTTCATAGTGTTCACTAGCTCAAATCCTGGGTAAGCAACTGTGTTAAATACTCTGAGTGAGGTAGAGCTTTTAAAATCTCAATCATCCATGTCTGTATGATTAAGATTAGCACCTTTTAGCTCTCATGCTCTGGATATGCCTCTTTCACACCAATGTTATGCTTAGGAGTTTTAGAATCAATACACTTTTTTTAATTGATGTTTTGAGACAATTAAATAAAAAAAGGGGTTTTCATTTTTTCTCTTGTTGAATTAGTGTGGAAAAAATTGCTAAAAAATTAGTCCTTTTTGAAGATATGGTTGTGTGCTGGGAAAAGTTGGTTGCATGTCACAGACATACACTGCACTTGTGTTTGATGAGCAAAGTTGAAGTTCACAAGGGAATTTCATATCATGATTTAGATAAGAGAAGCAAATCCATATATTTGTTACTGCACTGCATGAGATAAACCTTGGAAGTGAAATGTTGATGTTGTTTCTTCTTACTGCACAATTAACAAATCATGATTACAATATTCAGCATTTCCTTCCTATATCACAACTCTTCAGGGAAAAAATGAGGAGGCAACACAAAGTTCATTTGAGATTGACATTTTTGTTTCACTTTTACATGTGAAACAAATTAATTATATCAAGCAAATTGAGTGATGAAATTATTATAACATGAGCCTTTCAAGATGTTGTTCAGTGACAATGTTGTTAAATCACTGTAAAGTGTTGCCATAATGCTGTAATGCGGTGTTTTTTAACCCATCTGCCATAGGCAATTTGTGAAGGGAGGCACACAATGGCAGTGCCATAGGCTCTCCAATGGCGCTGTCATTGGTGGAATTTTGGCCTTCTGCCATATTCTGCCATTGACAACCTTGACTGCACTTGTTGTCGTTGATTCTTCCTATGTAGACTCATTTGTCTCTTATACTAGCGAACTTGAGTAATGTCTTTAATGGTTTGTTCTAAAATAACTTATGTTCCTAATACACCTTTTAATTGGGCTATCTTCCATTTGATTCACTTTTATTTGGAATCTCTCACTCTTCTCACATGTCTAAATAACATAAGCCAAGTGCATCATCTTTTCCACAATTAGCAGTACATAATTTGTTTTAGGCATATTCATTTCTTATATTTTTTGTATGCCTCCTCACCTCAACATTCTTATTTCTTACTTTTTTTAACACTTTGTAGTTCAACACTCACTACTGTGGAGCACTATTGCTTTTTTAGTGTTGGAAATAACAATAGTCAATGTACTTAAAAAGTAGTATGCTCATGTATGATGTATTCCATTCACATGATAACATGGATTTAGTGTTCATCAGAGTCAAGGAAGTTCCACTTAATTAAGAGTAGCCTAGGAAATAGTCTTATGGATGATGCATATACAGAAACAGTCCACAATACATTCTCTTGAAAAATAAAGTATTTTCATTTTCTTAAATTCTCTTTTACTCCCTAAATTTTCCCCATCTGAATTCAACATATCGATGTCCTAATATGATAAAATTTTAATTTGAGTTTGATAGGCACTTACAAAATTATGTTTGAAGTGGTTCTTTGTTACTACACCAACTCAAATTGTTGTTATGACATCCTGGTTGATCTTCCCTGTCTCCTAGTAAGAAGGATCAAACTCCAATGTACTTAAACTATTCAACTAATTTTCACCTCCAAAAGAATGCTTACTCAAAAAGAAAGATAATTTACAACTTGGGAGGATTAGAAATCTTCCCAAAAGGAGAAAAAGAAAACAAAAATACCAAGGTAAATTGGCCAAAATGACGCAATTAAGTAGAGCAATGAGAAATGTTAAAATAAGCTGAGCAAGAATGACATGATTAATATTTTTTGTGAGTGTATTTGCATTTTGAAAGTGAAATCTTGTTTTAATTAAGGTTGTAAAATCATGTTATCAATCATCAAATTATTTGAAATTTTTGTTAAGTTTTGGGACAAAATGTTTGGCTGTTGATTTGTTTATTTCCCTCTTTTTAATTTTTTTTTTTTGTTCAAATATGATTTTTTTTCCTGTCATAAATGGAAAGCATCACCAAATTTGAATGTCGGAAGGAATATTTATAACTTTAGGTATTAAGCCTATAATTCATTCAGAGAAAGTAGAGTTGCAAAGGAAGAGGATAACAAATCCTCCTAGAACAACCTGCAAGATGAAATGGGAAATCAGTTAATGGACATCTATGAAGCACCGACTCCGATATGGACACTGAGACACGACACGGACACGCGGACACGACAAACTTCTAAAATATAGGACACTGGGACACTTATATATATTAGACATGAATAAAAATTTAAATATGATTCAAATGAGAAATATATAAATTAAAACTGGGTTGGAATTCTCTCTACCCTTTTCTCTTTCACAAACCCTATATTCCTCCCTCTCTGTAAATGGGTTGGAATTTCATCTTCTGGCTCTTCATTTGTTTCCCTGCCAACATTGCCCTTCTCGCCTCCACTCTTTCCCTGCCAACATTGCTCTTCTCGCCTCCACTCTTTCCCTGCCAACATTGCTAACAGTGGCTCTTCAACTACTTCGTTATTTCAGAGTTCATTGGGCAGAAAGCGTTGTGTGGTCTGTGCTCTCGGATTAACTGCCCAGTAGCACACAACAGAGGAAAACTGAAAGGAAAAAAGGAAAACTTTTTTGGATGAAAGGAAAGCTTTGGAGCAGAAATGGAAAGGTGCAGAGGAAGGAAGGAAGAAAGGATACGTGAAGAGGAAGGAAGGAAGGAATAAAAGCGGGAGAAAAAAATAAATAGAAAAAATTCAATTTTTTTTTTTATAAAAGTTGTACCCGAGTCGGAGCCGTGTCTGACACTGTGTTGGATTTAGGTCACGCCGTGTCCACATGAATCGAAGCCTCGCGACGCGTTTTTGGTGTAGGGGACACTACAAAAAAGAGTCGGACACGCTTCCGCGAAGCGTCGTGGCGGTGTCGGTGTCCCAAATGTCCGCGACACTCCCGACACGGATGAGGGGAGCCGTGTCGGTGCTTCTCAGATGGACATTGTTTTAATTGCTTATTTTGCAAAAAATGTTTCTTTTCCAATTTGCTAAGTTTGACGTTTTGTTGTGTCAGGCTCTTGAAGCTCCAAGGGAGCCTAGGCGACCCAAAACTCATTGGGACCATGTCTTAGAAGAAATGGTGTGGTTATCAAAGGTACCCACTAGTTTCACCTTCAAAAGCTATAATGTTCATTGTTTCTATATTTTATTTTATAGGACTTTACATGCTGTTCTTTATTTTGTAGGATTTTGAATCAGAGAGGAAATGGAAATTAGCCCAGGCAAAGAAAGTAGCTTTAAGAGCTAGCAAAGGCATGATAGATCAGGCTACAAGAGGTGAAAAGAAGATGAAGGTGCTGATCTCTCTTGTTCAAATGAAAGCACTGATAACCTGCCTCAGTTATTGATACTGTGGTTGTATTATTAAAAGCTACAGAAAGCATAATTTGGTGATTGTATTGCATGCTTTTTTTATTCCACACTGTAATGTTGTGTGATGAAAGCTACATCTTGTACAGGAAGAAGAACAGCGGTTAAGAAAGGTTGCACTAAATATTTCTAAGGATGTTAAGAAATTCTGGACTAAAATAGAAAAGCTGGTAATATTTTGTTGCTCAACTGATTTGTTTGCTGGCATAGTATCGGTAAGTTCCATTTGATGATCTTCATTTCATCATCTATTATTGTGCTAGGTTCTTTACAAACATCAAATGGAACTTGATGAGAAGAAGAAAAAGGCACTTGACAAACAGCTTGAGTTTTTATTAGGGCAAACTGAGAGGTTAATTCTCTCTCTTTTTGTTTTTTCTCTCTTATGTTTTGTGGAAACTGGAATCCCACTTGACTTTGTTGTCCTTATCTTTTTTATATATATTGTGTTCAGGTACTCAACAATGCTGGCTGAAAATCTTGTGGATGGTCCTCATAAATCAGGAGAGAATAATTCTGTAGAGCATCACATAAGTATTCAACGCAAAGAAGTACATGGAGATGTTATTAATGAACCTAAGGAAGCTGATGTTGGTAGGTAGATGTATCTTTGAAGTTATAAATGGAACCACATTTTTCTAACTTAACTCATTTCAATTGTAGTGGAATATCATTCAGATGCAGCTGACAATGATGACGAATATGATGTACAATCTGATGATGAATCGGTAATTCTTTTTTATTAGAGCAACAGTGTCATAAAACTGAGACTCATTTTGGGCATGTTGTATCTGAAGGCAACCTTTATTTCCAAAATCCTAGATAAAGGTTCAATGTACCTTTTTAATATTTATTTAATATCAAGTTCATATTATTGTGGAATTAATAATTATGATTTTGTTAATCTGCACATTGTTTGTTTGACTGAAGTCCTTATTTTTTTTGAAAAAAATAAAATAATACAAGAGTTCTGCTGCATGAAAAGAATAATCAGATGTGATTTGTACTTTTCTGGGGAATTAGTGAAAGAAATAATCTGTCAAATTTAGTTGTTTTACTGAAAAAATGTAACAACTCTGCCATAGTGTGGATATGTGAGATGCCACTTCCACTGGTACTGTTTCATTTTCTTTTCTTAAATTAGTAGTGTGTGTTATATTACTGTATGGAGTCATATATTTTGCAGAATCTTTTTCGTATTCCTGAGAATAAGAAAGTCAGAACATTTATTCCTATGTTTGTTAGAAGGTTACAATTTTTTTTTTTGGGTATAGTTTCTTCCCTGGAAATTTACATTCTGATGTCCATGCAGTTTTTTTCCGATGCTAAGGTGGTGGGAAAATTACATTCCCATGGGAATGTGGGAAGTTATTTTCTACCCCACTATAACTTAAATTTTGTTTTATTTTAATTATTTAAAAATTTAAAAGGTATTCTTCGGAATATTAAAAGTTACCCAAATTTATTTTTTAGATATGCCAGGAATAACGTTCTTGTTACAGTATTATTGTATGCTTTCTTCACTTTCTAATTGTCACCTTGTTGACTTATTCATGTGCATACTGAATATTTTATATCTCAAATGTACATTCTGCATTTTCTATTGCAACATTGTTAATTTTCTATGTGGAATGCTGAACTTTTCTGAATAATGAGTTTCATTTGAAATTTTAACAACTGCTTGTTTTTTACCTGATTATTTCTTCTGGTGTTTTAATGGGTGAAGATTGGTCCAAATCCATGTATGGACTTATGAGAATGATGGTATTGTTTCCAGGAGGATGATGAGCAAACAATTGAGCAAGATGAGGCGCTTATTACTAAAGAAGAGAGACAAGAGGAATTGGAAGCGTTGCATGATGAAATGGATCTTCCGATTGAGGAGTTACTCAAACGTTATGCTGGGGAGAAAGGTTAGATATTTTTATTTTTAAATATTCTTTAGATTAAAGGAGAGAGGGAAAGGCCAATTTGTTGCATCAACCATCATATTTTTTGTTTTCTGGGCAAGGGAAGCAAATATAGAAAAGGAAAGGGAAGATGGTCATAGGTGGCAGTTAGGATAGTGAAACATGTACCTGTCTGAAAGTAAACCATAAGATTTACCTTATACATTTAATGTGATTGCCTTATGAATCATTGGAGCATTTATGCCACTGTTTGTTTTACAATTAGGAGAATCGGTGATGAAAGAAGATGTTGAGATGGTAGTTATAAGAGCTGGTGATGGTAAGAAAGGATTAGCATCAGGTGTGTTCCCCCATTTACTTTGCAATTTATACTTGTTTCTGACACAGAACATGGTTAACATATTGCAGAAAACGGTGATGATCATTTATCTGTTAGCAAAACTGACACAAACAACTCCAGCATGGTCTCTGGTCGACGTTGTGTAAGTTGTATGTGTTTAGTTTTACCACTTTGAATAGCAGAGTGAGTTAAAGATTTAGTGTAATGCTTACTTTTAAATAACAGGAGGAAAGTAATGGTGATGTTGCTACACCGGCAAACAATCTATCTCAATGTGAGGATGGTCAATCTGAAAATCTGAAAGAGGTTCCGAGTGAGACAGCCAATGAAGATTTTGCATATGATTTTACTGATGAAGAGGTGATAATTCACTTAGTTTTATTATAAGCCAAACATTTGTCCATTATAATTAATTTAACACCAGTTAGGGATCCACAGATCTGTCTTATGTATGGCACATCTTCATAATTGATGGAGCAATTATGATCTAGAAAAATCCATCAGAAAATGTAATAGTGCACTTGTTTGATGAGATGATATATGTTCACTTCATCACCATTGCTCTTCATCTTCTCCTTTCATTATGTCTCTCACACAACTCCTCAAATTTTGGGAAAAGATAACTCAACAAAATGAAGATGTCCATCTAAATATAAGATACTCCTTTAGTCCTATGGGCACTGTTAGAAATTAAGTGTAGATAAGTTTTTTACTTCTGTTAGAAGGTTTGAAATTTGTTTATTACTAGTGCTAAATTCCCACAGAATGAATCCACAATTCTTTATCTTTGGAAATTGGCCTAATCCTCAAGCTAGTAGATTTGTAGTCATCTAGAAATATCAAGTTCATGTACTGGGTTTTTATCTAGAGTTTAGATGCTAGCAGGCTCTGTTTAGGCAGGTAATGATTCATTAGCAGCAATCTGAATGACCTTGACATGGTTGGGAAGGATACAAGTGCCACTATGTCTGTAGTGGTGAAGATCTGGTAATGATATGTGGTATTGCATGGAAGGAAAATAAATGATATAATATGTTATTATTATATACGGAAAGCTCTGCATGGAATAATACAAATCACTGGACAACCAGCTTAATCCTGTTCATCTGCACCCTAATATGTATGGGTCAGCTTAATTAAGTCTTTATGTAAGATTGTGGAATTGGTGTTCTCTAAGTAATGAATTAGGTAGTTTTGGTGGACAAGTGATATCCTTGGGGGAGAGGGGTGCAAAAAGCAAATGGTGTTGGCAGTAGGCAGCAGGTATCTGATATTCTAATAGGGAGAAATTGAACATACTCACTAGGATTGGCTTCTGAATTTTCAAACAAAATAGGTTGTTCTAATTATAGTTTTTAATAGCACGCCACAGCAGGAAGCAGAGCTGAGCAGTCCTTTACTGCTGTGGGATTGAAATAGTGGAGCAGTTTTCAGTAGCAGATGCAATTGCGACCAATTGGTGCCTGTTTGCTCGCAATAGTAGTGCTACCACGGACAGGCTTAAAAACAATTTTTTACCCTTGCAAGATCATTGCCTGGAGTTTATTTGGGTAAAATATTGCACAAAATTGTTATCTGTCTTTGTTTTGACCTCTAGTCCTTTACACATTGTGGGACTATCTATGTTCTGATATTTCTTTTCCCATCTTCCCATCTATTTCACATCATGCTAAATTTTTTATCTAATTTATTAGGCTTTTTTTCTCTATTAACTTTACCATATTATTTCTCTTTTTGACTTCATTGCTATGTTCTTATTGCTCCTAGATTGATGGTAATTGTGTGTGAACTGAGTCTTATTATTTGTCATGAGTTTCTTTAATTTTTATTTATTTTTTAAGTATTTATGTTTAAAATAATTTTATTTTTGTATTATAATGTTTAAAATTGTGGTCATCCTGCATCCTGCTAATAGCTATCCCACTACAGCATTTTCAGAGTTAGCCACCATGCTCAGCTATCCGAGATTAATTAATGGCTTGATCAGTTTGAAGTTTTGTTTTTCACAAACATGAACTCATCAGGATTTCTCTTTGTAACTAATTATGGAACCATGTACTAATCAAAGTATTGTCATTCTCGCTAATTGAGTGAGATAGTAGGAAAATATTAATTATTTAAACAGAGGGAACTTATGAAAAATAAAATTATTGGGATATTATTAAGGGGTGGCTTGACATGAGCCGTGCAATGGTCCAATAAATGTTCAAGTTTTATGGTTTTCGGGACAAGCACTTCTGCTTTTTCCTTACATGCACCCTTTTTTCCAACAAATGTTTTACTGTTAATTCCTTTTGCTTTGTTCCTCACATCTGCTCTGAAATATTGTCAGGAAGATGGTGACTTCTTGCTTGGCACAGAAGATAAGGTAATTTGCTGTTTGATATATAATGCTATCATTTCCAGTTTTGAGTTTGTTTTAATTGGTTTTGATCATCAATGAGGTAGGTGGGGTTGGTAGTTTATGTTTTCTGTGTGTCAGTTGTGTGTTGTTGGCCCCTATATTATTTCTGTTGTAGATGTTGCATGTTTAAAATGTTCTTTCAGACATGTACTCTGCTTTCCTAATGGCGGGTGGACTTCAACATGTTAATTGTGACATTGACATAATGACTGAAACTTTTAAGGGTGTATGACTACTGGCATATAAATTAAAAGGGTGCATTTTAAAACAGTTGCACAGAGATAATCTTTGAAATGCTAAAGAGTGATCAAATGTTGCCAATGTTGCTATTGAAATCATAAACAAGGCCCTTTGATGCTTATAAATTATCAATTAGTTGACTGATATTGATCAATTAGTTTCTATTGGTTGACTGATAATCTTGGAGATGCCTTCTAATTGTTGTGGACCTCAGTACCTCAGCAAGGTCTCTGGTTGGGCTAGGAATCAAGTCCTATTCCCAAGTCAGATAACTGAATTATCTTTGCCCTCATCCTAATGACATTTTGTTCTGATGCACCTGTCTTTCTCAAGTGGTGTCAGTCAGTGCAAATGCCCAGCTTAGCTTTGTTGTATTGTTCAGCCACATGATAACATGGGCAACCATTAAGTATGATTTTTTACAGTTGAATGCAGACACTGGCGTGGCTAGATCTTATGGAGGGCTTGTTTTCTTATGTGTTATAGTTTCTGTTAGCATGTGCAATTATGTAAAGCCTTTGTTCATGGAGGGAAGTCGTGTTTACCTAGTAGTTCAATAACTATATATGATGTGATCTGCTGGTAGACCAAACATTTACTTTATATGTTTCAAAATCCAATGATATAAGGTTTTTTATTCAAATTTTTACTATCTTCGATATGCATTTGAAGTCAATAATTTGTTGGATATTACTGTTTAGATTGGAGTTTATATTGAAGAAATTTTTGACACTGTTAATCAATTGTTCGACTACTTTGAAGGTTTTGCTTATTTATCTTTTTTTGGTCTCATTTAAAAAAATGTTCAGGATGATGAAACAACCTTATCTGATGAGGAAAAACTGGAAAGAGTTGATGCAATTGATCCCAAGGATGAGGTTAAGAGCTTACCCGCCTATCTTTCACCAATGTTATTTCTGAATACTACAACTAATGTAGAATTTTGGAATTTTCTGCCATAAATGTTGTATCCAGTCTGCTTGGTTTATATATACTGTATATAGGAATATATTGTAATGTTACTCTTCATGGCAAAACTGTTATTTGTAGATTGCATTATTACAAAAAGAGAGTGAGATGCCTGTTGAGGAACTGCTTGCAAGGTATAAAAGGGTAAGCGGTATTCACCTCTAATTATTACATATGGTTTGGTTCCTTGGTACTAAAACATTGGTTTTTATTTATTTACCCCCCTATCTCCTCTTTTTGTTTTTTAGGACCCAAGTGACAATGAAGATGGGGAATACGAATCTGATTATGCTTCTGCTTTATCAGAAGACCATTTGGATTCTCCTGTCTATGAAGATGCTGGGCAAAAGGATCCTTCCGTTCCTATGGATGAAGATATCAATTCTTGTGAGCACCTGGCAACTGTACAGTCCCAGGCAGAAGAACATTGGGAATCGCCTCATGAAAATTTGGATCAAAGAGAAAGTGAGCATATAATTGCTGATGCAGCTGCTGCTGCAAGATCAGCACAACCTACTGGAAACACCTTCTCCACAACTAATGTGCGTACCAAATTCCCTTTTCTACTCAAGTACTCTCTTCGTGAGTATCAACATATTGGATTGGATTGGCTTGTCACGATGTATGAAAAAAGACTGAATGGAATTTTGGCAGATGAAATGGGTCTTGGGAAAACAATTATGACAATATCTTTGCTTGCACATCTTGCTTGTGAAAAAGGGATTTGGGGTCCACATTTAATTGTGGTACCAACTAGTGTAATGCTTAATTGGGAGACTGAATTTCTGAAATGGTGTCCTGCTTTTAAAATTTTGACTTATTTTGGAAGTGCAAAGGAGCGAAAACTTAAAAGGCAAGGATGGTTAAAACCAAACTCATTTCATGTATGCATAACAACTTATAGATTAGTTATCCAGGACTCCAAAGTTTTCAAACGCAAAAAATGGAAATACTTGATTTTGGACGAAGCTCATCTCATTAAAAACTGGAAGTCACAAAGATGGCAGACACTCTTGAATTTCAATTCAAAACGACGGATTCTCTTGACTGGTACACCACTACAGAATGATCTCATGGAACTGTGGTCTCTCATGCATTTCTTAATGCCCCATGTTTTCCAGTCGCACCAAGAGTTTAAGGATTGGTTTAGTAATCCTATATCTGGGATGGTAGAGGGAGAAGAAAAAATTAATAAGGAGGTTGTTGATCGCCTGCACAATGTCCTTCGTCCCTTTTTACTCCGTCGACTAAAGCGAGATGTGGAAAAGCAACTTCCAATGAAACATGAACATGTCATATATTGTAGACTATCAAAGAGGCAGCGTAATTTGTATGAAGATTTCATTGCTAGCTCAGAGACTCAAGCAACTCTTGCGAGTGCCAACTTTTTTGGGATGATTAGTATTATCATGCAACTTCGTAAAGTTTGCAACCATCCTGACCTATTTGAGGGTCGACCTATTGTCAGTTCTTTTGATATGTGTGGTATTGATATTCAGTTAAGTTCTTCTGTTTGCTCTATGCTTTTGTCTACTCCCTTTTCAATTGTGGACCTAAGAGGTTTGGGTCTTTTATTCACTGATCTTGACTACCGCATGGCTGCTTGGGAAAGTGATGAAGTACAAGCTATTGAGACCCCTGCAACTTCAATCATGGAACGAACTGATTTAGCTGAGCTAGAAGTAATTAGGCCACTGAAATGTCAAAAAAACTTGCAAGGAACAAACATTTTTGAAGAGATCCAAAGGGCAATCTGGGAAGAGAGGCTAAAGCAGGCAAAGGAACGTGCAGCAGCTGTTGCATGGTGGAACTCCTTGAGATGTAGGAAAAGACCTATGTACTCAACAACTCTGAGGGATCTTGTTACCTTAAGCCATCCTGTATATGATATTCATCAGGTGAAAGCAAACCCTGCTTCGTACATGTACTCATCAAAGCTAGCTGACATTGTTCTCTCCCCCATTGAACGATTTCAAAAGATGACTGATGTGGTTGAAAGCTTCATGTTTGCAATTCCAGCTGCACGGGCACCCTCTCCTGTTTGCTGGTGCAGTACAAGCGAGGCAAATGTGTTTCTGCAGCCATCTTACAAGCAGAAATGCTCTGAAGTTTTGTTACCGCTACTGTCACCAATCCGACCTGCAATTGTTCGCCGGCAAGTATATTTCCCTGATAGGCGTCTTATACAATTTGACTGTGGGAAACTTCAGGAACTTGCAAATTTGTTGAGGAAATTAAAATCAGAAGGTCACCGAGCTCTGATATTCACCCAGATGACAAAGATGCTTGACATATTAGAAGCATTCATTAATTTGTATGGTTATACATACATGCGCTTAGATGGATCAACCCAACCAGAGGAGAGACAGACCTTAATGCAGCGCTTTAACACAAACCCCAAATATTTTCTTTTCATCTTGTCAACCCGAAGTGGGGGTGTTGGTATCAATCTAGTTGGAGCTGACACAGTTATTTTTTATGATAGTGACTGGAATCCTGCTATGGATCAACAGGCACAAGATCGATGCCACAGAATTGGTCAGACACGCGAAGTTCATATTTATAGATTGATTAGTGAAAGCACCATTGAGGAGAATATTTTGAAGAAAGCAAATCAGAAGCGTGCACTTGATAATCTAGTTATACAAAGTGGGGGTTATAATACTGAGTTCTTCAAGAAGCTCGATCCTATGGAGCTATTTTCAGGTCATAGAACACTTTCAATAAAAAATATGCCAAAGGAGAAAACCCAGAACAATGGGGAGGTTTCTGTAACTAATGCAGATGTAGAGGCTGCATTGAAATGTGTAGAAGATGAGGCAGATTACATGGCTTTGAAAAAAGTTGAACTAGAAGAGGCTGTGGACAACCAGGAGTTTACAGAAGAAGCCATTGGGAGACTTGAAGAGGATGAATATGTAAATGAAGACGATGAGCCTGCAGAATTAGGCGAATCTGTTTCGAACTTAAATAAAGAGAATGCATTAATGTTAAATGGAAGTGATCATAAGGAAGATAGACCACCACACACTGTTGCTGTCAAAGAAGATGATGCTGACATGCTGGCTGATGTCAAACAGATGGCTGCAGCTGCAGCTGCAGCTGGACAAGCTATCTCAGCATTTGAAAATGAGCTTCGCCCTATTGATAGATATGCCATTCGCTTTCTGGAACTTTGGGATCCAATTATAGATAAAACAGCCTTGGAATCTGAAGTCAGGATTGAGGACACAGAATGGGAGTTGGATCGCATTGAAAAATACAAGGAGGAGATGGAAGCTGAAATCGATGAAGATGAGGAACCTCTTGTATATGAAAGTATGCCCCACATTGCTCTTTGCTTCATAAATTTGAAATTATTGTTAAAATTAACGTCATTATATTAGATTTCATGAAAGAGTGATTAACCATGACTGTATTCAAATAACTCGTCTCTAGCATAGTTTAATAGGTCTTCGAAACTACAGAACATGCTATAAAGTAACTTGTAGTTTGTTTTCCTATATGTTCATTACATCTGAAACCATATATTTTTGTGTAATAATTATTCTGGTGCATGGTTACCCTTTTACATTGAATTTAAATTTGATTTATGGTTGGTTTCCCCAGTGCTTTCAGTGTTTGGTATATTTATCAACTCAATCTGGAGATGGTTTGTTACATATACTATCTTACAAAGATGTTTAGTTTGAATGCATGACAATTGTGACTTGAGATTGAACACTATCTTGGTCTACATAATAGGCTGGGATGCTGATTTTGCAACAATGGCGTATCGACAGCAAGTAGAGGCCTTAGCTCAACATCAGGTGTGTTGCATGAACTTTGAATGAATTTTTCTCTGCTCTTCTTTTTGTAATGACTATTAATGTTTTTCTTTTTATGATCTTGTAGTTGATGGAGGAACTTGAATATGAAGCTAGACAGAAAGAAGCTGAGGAAGAAGCTTGTGATTCTAAAAAGTAGGCCAACACTGAACTTTGCTTGTTTCCTTCCCATTACTTGTCTTCAAAATAGAACAATCTAAAATCCATACGAAAACAGTTCTTTGCGCTTTGTAACTAATATTTTTCTACATACAAACTAAGTTTTTGGTGGTTTTGGGGTTTTGAAACTAATCCTTAACTAGATAATCCGCTTTATGTTAAATATTTCTTCTATAGTGTTACTAGTAAGAGTTTGAAATACATGAAATGTTTTGGATTGTAATAAGGTAAAACCCAAAATAAGAAAATACCTGAAAATGCTATTTTTTTCTTTTTTCCACAGGACAATACCAGGGGATTTGAAGCCCAAATCTAAAAAGAAACCTAAGAAGGCGAAATTCAAATCTCTAAAGAAAGGATCTTTAAATTCTGGCTTGAAACCTGTGAAAGAAGAGTCACAAGCAGAGCCAATGAACATAGATGACGAGGATGTCAATGGTCTAGATTTTGTATCTCCAAATTCTGCCATGCAGAAAAAACGGAAGAAATCTAAATTAACAACTGATGGTGAAGAAGACAAGAGACATAAGAAGTCCAAAAAGTTCAAGAGGGATCCTCCTGACTTTTATTCGTCTGATTTTGAATCCAACTCTTTAGTTTTGCATTATGAACATGCAGAATTAAAAACCTGTGAAAGTCTGGTTGATTTGGAACAAAGAACATCAGGCAGGAGTAAGATGGGAGGAAAAATATCCATCACTCCTATGCCTGTAAAACGGATTTGGACGATAAAGCCAGAAAAATTAAAAAAGGGAAATCAGTGGTCCAAAGATTGTATTCCGTTCGCTGATTTTTGGCTTGCTCAGGAGGATGCAATATTATGTGCTGTTGTTCATGAATATGGTCCTAACTGGTGTTTGGTTAGCGATGTGCTTAATAGCATGACTGGTGGTGGGTCATACAGGGGGAGATATCGTCATCCTGTCCATTGCTGTGAAAGGTTTAGAGAACTATTCCAGAAGAATGTCTTGTCAATGGATAATACAAATAATGAGAAGATCAACAGTTCTGGTTCTGGAAAGGCTCTTCTTAAAGTTACAGAGGTTAGACCAGCAATGTTAGGTTCATGTTTATTTTATGTCCATGATAATTATTGGAGTAGATTGCAACTTGTATTTACTATTTATATTTACGATTTAGAAAATATTTGATCATTCCTATTACGCACTTATCCCAAAATTGATAATTGGGAAAGAAAAACTTTTTTTTGTTTTCTCACATCTAGTCTCATTTGGCAGGATAACATCCGGATGCTTTTAGATGTTGCTTCTGAGCAGGTAAATAGGGAGTTGTTGCTGCAAAAGCATTTTTTTGCATTGCTTTCATCTGTCTGGAAAGTGGCATCACATGTTGACCGCAGGAAAAATCCATCACCCACCTGTAATGGTCTCTATTTCGATCAGAGTTTTTTTACTTCTATTGGCCAGCCTTCCCAAAATTCCTTGAAGAAAAACTCTGAAAAGATGGTATTTGCAAATTTGGCCCAGAGTAAGAAGTTAGTTGCAGCTGCACTTGATGATACCACAACTAGGGAAGTGAATGACAGAGTCATCCTCTCTAACCAAGGGGAAGGAATGCCAATGAGTGCAGAACGACTGGATATAATGCTGGAGTTCCCAAAAGAGGAGAGTGATGTCTTTTCTTCATTTCCATCAGTTATAAATTTATCCATACATGGGACTGAACCAACACCATGTTCAAGTAAGCAAACAGGAGAAGATGACTTCAAAGTTGGTCTGTTCATTGCAGAGAATCGATTCAGGTATGGCTGAATATGGATTTTAGTTTGATGGTTTGGTTGTGTGTAAAATTGGTAGTAAATTAGTGTTTTTTTTTTGGGGGGGGGGGTGTTGATGTAAGGCATAGCCCAGAAGTGGAAACAAAACTAAGTCTTGAAATAAGGGAACAAGATGCAAACAAGAACAAAACTGTACTGGTAGAGGGAATTAGTTGATTTCATTACAGGCAGTTGGTTCAGTAGTATGGTTTGTCCTAACTTCAATAGGAATCTATCTTTCATTAATTTTGATAGCAAATTTCATTCCTTGTGGTAATTTTATATTGTTGTCTGTTGCTAGTTTGCATCGGGGATGGTATTTCTGACTTATTCAATTATTTATTCTGTGGTTTGTCGAACATCAGAAAATTGTTAATCATCTGTTTTGCTCCTTTTATTGAGAGGCACAAATCAGTGACGAAATAGAAATTTTCCTGGTTACTGGTGGAAAGCTGCTAATGGTGTTTTCTCTTTTATTTCTCCCACAGGGAAGCATCAAGAATTTGTGAAGAAGACAGCTCTGGATGGGCATCATCTGCATTCCCAACCAACGATGCAAGGTCTCGACCTGGATCCAGGATGCAATCCTCTGGAAAGCAGAAGTCTTCTGTATCTGACTCTGCTAAGCCTTCTAGGTCAAAGTCCAAAAGAGCATCAATTGATCCTAGTGAAATGCAGCAGCATCAAGCTGACTCAATATTCCAGTCAGTGCCATCATTTAATCTGAGATTTGATCTCGGTTCATCTACAACAGATGAAGTTGGAATTGATGCTGTGGATAGATGTTTCCCCTTTTTTGACTTGAATGGGGAAAGTTCATGGGAAATGGAGTGTACTGGAATGATTCAACACGATTATGTTGCTGGTTTAATCTCAGAACTTGATGATTGTACAACATTCCCTGAATATACTGACATTAGATGAGAGGATCAAATCAAGCCTGAAATGCAGTTTTGAATGACCTTAGTCTTAAAGTGGCATAGTATTGGCAGGTTAGTCTTGCTCAGTTCGTGAATGCCGTTGGCTTACAATTGAATTGGAACGATGCATTCTTACAGTTCCCTCGTAGGCCTGCCATTTCGATATACAGACAAACAGGCCAGAGGAAAGCCTGCTGAGGTTTCGAAATGAAAAATATAGAGATATAGAATGCTGTCAATAATTTAATTTCTTACTCGGTATTATGTATTGGCTTGGGGGTTCAGCTCAAATTTGACAGCGTCATTCTCCCATAGATCGGTACTCATTGGTAAGAAAGCCTTCATTTTTTCTTCCCTCTAATGGTCACACGGATTTGCCTGGGATGTTTTGCATGCACACGTACATATGTTCTTAGCTGGGGCATGCCTAGGGTTTAGTGCTTTAACTTGCAATTTTTTGTTATGCTAGCAGAACGAGGTAGTTGTTAGTGGCTAGTTCGTTAGTCCCATTCATTTAGAACACAACTTTAAATGATTTAACATGAGGTTTACAAATCTATAATTCTACATGCTTGGAGTCTAATACATATTTTAGAATGTGTTTTTTTTTTTTTTATTGGTTCAATGACGATATTAAGTGATTCTAACATCCCAATGTGCAACCCAACTTGCCCAATCCGAGTTTCAAACGAAATGTATCGCTTTTTATGTGATGACTCACCTGACGACCTGAATTTGTTGGAATCATTGTCTAATGCAAACAGCATTTTTTGAACAGCGGGCCAGTCGATTGTTTCATATCATAGTAATAAAGTTAGCTTAATACCAGTCTATGATCCATTTAGTTTGCGTTTTACAATTTAAGCAACTCCTCTAATACTGTAGCTCCAATAAAATCATCAAATGTCTTTAAATTTTTAAAATCTTTGTTTTTGTCTTTATCTATGCAAGGATTCCTTGTCTGAGGAATCATTTCCTACTCCGAATGTCAGCTAAAATGTCGTTTATGCGTGAAAAACCATATGAAGTTCGTGCAAGGAACGATACTCTTGAAATCAAGGAGAAGCTTTATTTATTTTTTCATTGCTTGATTACTTTCTTCAATTAGCAATTGATATCTTGATAACTTTACTGTTTGTTTCACAATTTCTTGTTTCCGTGTAATAATGTTTTCATTTGCAACTTTGACGAGATTGTATACGATTTTGTTTGTGACTGAGATGCAATACATTTTGTTTGCGTTGTACAACCAAACTAGCAGGACACGAACCTTTGGCACGAAAGAAAATTGAAAGCAAGGAATTTGTTGCAACTTAGATTTACGTATAGATAGAGCCTTTACATTTGATAGCGGATATACAAAATTAAAAACGATCTGTTTTTAATTTAAAAGTTCGTCATATCTTTAGGAAGATCTCTCTATACGCAATTTAGTTGTCGTTGTAAAATCATATCATGATCATATACTAAAATCTTCAAACCTATAGGAAACTTAAATTTTTGAAATTAACCATGTGCAAAAATTGGTTTTGGTAAGCCTGATAGTGTTTGATTTTGACTTCTATTAATCGGCATAGCAAATGGTACAAACAATAGAATTGACGATGCTGAAATTTCAAGAGTTTAACGATCATATGGTATTGAATTAATTTGAAGGGTGAAACTCTGTTTCCAACGTGGATGTCAGTCTCAGCAATTGCACTACTAACATTCACGCCTAATTCCATCGTTCTACTGCATAAATAAGATGAACCATCAAGACTTCTCATCAACGTAATATGAGTACCTTGTTAAAGGACTATTTCCTAATATGAAAAAAAAAAAAAGGCTAAAACTACGCATATTGTTAAAAAAACTCTTCTTAGTCCATCAACATCAATTCCACCTTCCAAACCCATTTTCCGTGGCCGCAACCTTTTTTTTTTTTTATCGATACTATGCCACAACTAAGATATACTTTATGTTGGATAAAATGATAATTAAATATGATCTTCAGTCTAACGATCAAATATAAAATAATCTCATAATGTAAACATGATATAAACTAAATGCGAAAGCGTACCTGAATTAGTCATAATGATGATGTTCCTTTTAGAGCACTATTGATCTTATGGTCTTCCACCTGAAGAACATCTGTATTTCCTTCTTGATTTTCTCTCTTGATGGGGATAGAAGGAAAAGAACGGGACTCATAATCGTGTTACGTCTACGTGCTCTCGAAGGGACCATGACCCTTAAAAATAACCAAAATTAGGTTAATTACTTAAGTTTTAGTATTTCCAATTTGGTCCCTCATCAAATTAGAAATTGCTCTATAATATCTACACAATTTTATTTTCATGACATATACCTTTAACTAAATCTTTTTAATTTAGATCCAGATCATTTTATTATTTTAGACTTAATAAATAATATGTAACTCTAACACATTTAAATATGAATCATATATATATATATATATATATATATATATATATATATATATATATATATATATATATATATATATATATATATATACATGACCCTGAAAATAATTACATTGATTGATTAAAGTACATCAAGCGTTGGTCAAATAATTGCTTTATTATGGAAATTGATGGAATCTTATTTTTGTTGCAAATTAGAATATCTAAAAGCAAGTATATATTGCAATGGATTAACAAATGGTTGCATTAACAAATCAGTTGGAATCTGAGTATCAATTTCTACTTCATTTTAGCTACTACAGCTCCCGTCCCCGACGCGAGTACCCATTTAACAATTTTATTCAAGTAGTCTGGAATAATCGGTTAAATTTGTCTCCAATCACTAGCAATAACAACAAGTATACCACCAAATTGTTTCTCCACGCACCCATCAACTTTTATTTTTATTACATCTTTCAAAGTTCTATCCAGAGTCTCAAACCTGTTTGTTAAACAATAGAGCTTAGTATTAAATAATATGATCTAGATTTTAATTTTTTTTTTTTATAAATTGCCTTCGTCATTTTTCTTTTTTTCTTTGTTATTTTATTTAATTTCTATCAATATTAATCTTCTTTTTTTGCGTTTTTCCTCGTAATAAATAGAGATTATTGTTTTTAATTACACATTAAATATATAAAATAATTGGTAATTAATGTAAAATTGATTATGTTTTTTAAAATTTCAACATGATTCCTATAAATTGAAAACTTGGGGAAATAATGAGTGATTATTCTTCCAATATATCCTATTCAACTTAAACATCCGAATTCACTTTTTATAGTTGGACCATTCTAATTTCATATCTTCACGTTCTTTGCTTTGTATTTGAAAAAAACAAAACGAAAAACAAGTAGCGGTCAGGGCTTTTTCTTACTTTATCATTTTTTAGTAGAATTCAACCAAAACATTTTTCTAATAAAAAATTCGAACCGTTTTTTCATTCACAGGAATCAAAATAGAAGAAACTGAATCACATTAAAATTAAAAGAAATTATGACTAATTAAGGTTTTAAAACGAAAAATAAATTGAACATAATAATTAATCTTAACATTATTATCATTATGGACATCAGACATAACAATTATAAAATATGGTAAAAAAGATAAAATTGTTTAAAAAATAATAATACAAGTTTGATTTTGTAATTGATTTTTATAATAATAATAATAATAATAATAATAATAATAATAATAATAATAATAATAAACTATCAACAAATTTGTTTTATTTAAAATTAATAGGGTATAATATGATTTATTTTAACTCGTAAAAGTAAGTTTTTCATCTTCTATAATAATGACATGTATGTATGTGAAAAACTTGAATAAAAACAATTTTAGAAAACCTATTAGAATGTTACTTTTACAAGGAAACTAACCATGGGCAACATATTTTTCTAATTTTAAATTTCTAAAACTAAAAAATTTCTCTTTTATTAAACGTCGTCTAGACGTTAATAATATACATCTGATAAATTTAATATTATAAATCTCGTAATAAAGTAAAATAATACTAATTGCATTACAAATATAGGTACAACTTTTTTGAAAAAAAAATCTAAATATGTATTATAATCTAATAACAAAAATTTACCTGTAATTTTAACAATACAACATTTTCCATTAAAAATATAATATCACGAAGAAATATTAATTAAGTTTTAAATCATACAACTCATTTCGGACATAGTATATCTGATAAGAAATGTTTTACACAATTTTGATAATATATATATCAATTTTATCAAGTTTTGATATTCTCCCAATAAAAAATGTATTATTATTTTTATTTCTTTAGTCACGTTGTCTCAAATAATAAATAAAAAAATTCATGACGTGATAAATGAATGATAGTAGGTGATGCAAAAAAGCAAAAGAAGAAAACAGTTAGGGCAACATATGATTATGTTTTCGGATTCCCACCTCAGCGGAATCCAAACACAACCATTAACCGCGTTGAAACCTTTCGTTTTAAAATCCTCTCTGTATTACCCAAATCTACGACTCACCAATTTCAATAAACAAATTTATCTTCTTTTTTTTCTTATTTTTTTTTTAATTATTTCATTATTCATATTCTCTTCGCACCACCACCACTCTTTCTCTTTCTCGTTCATTCTCCGCCTCGCCACCCTCTTTTCCAAAACCTCTTTTCCGCCGTTAGTTAGGGTTTTTCCGGATCTCGATCCGTCTCAATGGACGTTCGCAAGCGCGGAAGGCCCGACCCCGCCGTCAACCTTAACGGCGCCGTTAAGAAGACCAAGCAAGGTTTTCACTCTCTCTCTCTCTCTCTCTAACATTCCATGTTTACGCCACTCTTCAATGCCGCGTTTCCGTTCCTTTCGGTTCTTCGTTTTGCCTCTGCTTCAAGTCCTTTGCGGTTCTAGCTTAGTTGCTTGGTTTGTTAAACACTGATGAAATTCTCGAAAAATCTAGACGAGCGAGAGAACTAAAGAAATATATTATAAGTTTTTTCTTCAAACGAAATAGTGGTTCAGTGTTTAGTGTTACAGTGTTTCAAGTGTTTTATGCTTGGTTTGTTAATTATTAGCATAGGGTGGTTGATTGCACAAATTTGACCTAGTTTAATATAATTCCGATATTAATATTACTCGCAAGTAAGATATATATTTGGTTTTGGAGAAAAAAATTTAGATGGAGTGTACTGGATTAATAATAACCGTTGAGAACATTAACTGAGAAGACGTAATTAATGTTTTGCAACAGACATGGACTCCTTATCAGGTGGTGTAGGAAGCAAATCGAAGCCATGTACCAAGTTTTTCAGGTTCTAATCTATTCCTATCTAAATGAGTATATCTTAAGTGCATACTTTATATTTTTAATGACGGCGTATTATAAGAATTAATTGTCTTAATGATGCTACAAAACTACTCTGAATTAACTGGGTTGGTATTGGAAGCTTTTATACAGGTACAAACTGTTCTCTGGTCTAATCAAGTTGTAACAGAATAATGGTTTTGTAATGAAGAACAATAAAGATGATAACAATTTGCAGGACGACAGTTGGCAATTGGAACCAAACGTTATACCAAAAAGATAAATTGATGATTGTTTGAGTTTTACTCGCCTTTTTATTAGTGTTAATGTTGTTCATGTTATAAATCTTTACTGCATTCATTATTTATGAACAAACCTTTCAAATGGTAAGCTATTAATAGACTAATACGATGAACTTTTGTTACTTGGGTCAGTAACTATATGTATAATTTATGTATAGATGCATTTAAAAGAATAATTTATTTTTCAATATCTATAAACTTCAACTAGTCAATTGTGTCCAATATTACATTCTGAGTACATAAAACTTTTGTTCAAGAATTGGAGGTGAATTTATGAGATGTTGTGTGTTGTTTTTAAGCAGTCTCATACAATAGTTGTTCTTTTAAAATCTTTTGTTCCTTCTTGCTTGTCAGGGATCTTCTAGATATGCTTTGTAGCTGGTGACTTCTTTACATTAACATCCTTGATAATGTAAAATTTCTATGTCAATGAAAATTTAGCGTTATCAAGATTGTAATCCAGCACACATGGTCTTGTGAAATTATGATTAAATTCCACTCAATGAGTATTTTATGGTTGCAGTTTTGTTTCAATCCTTGGTGTGGTGGACAATGTGGCTATGTTGTTGCATTTCTTCACAACATCAAGGATTACAACATAACTGCAACCACAATTTAGAATCTTAGTTAATAGTGTTCATTGAGGAGATTTTCAGCATAAGTTTGCATGATCGAATTTGCTGGATTATGGTTGATGTACCTCTAAAATCTTGACGTGGTGGTTGAGATTTTGGCCATTTACCTTTTTTTTTAATCATTGTTCTCCTCAATATTCAATTTTACATCTAAACTTTGTTTTAAGGTGATTACTGTAGAATTTATGTGTTACCTACCTTGTGAAGTGGTATTTGCAAAAGAAGCACTTGCCCAAACATGATTTTGTTAAGAACACATACCCCAATCATCAATTTCTTTCAGTCCATATCTGATTTTTTCAGTGACAAGCCAATATGTGTAACCTCTGTTGTGTTTATTTTTGTGTTTCTGAGCACTTCTCATTCTCACATTGTTACTATGGTTTGGTTCTGCACTTGGTTGTTCTGTTTTTTTTTTTTTGTAAATCTGGTGAATTTCTGTTCCTCTTTTGTTATTACTCCCCCTCTCCCCTTCCTAGTTTTTTAGCACTTGATTGAGGAGTTTGATGGGAATAAATGTTTTCAAGGTAGGAGTGTGCAAGGTCGTAATTAGAAGGTTGCTGTATATGTTGGTGGGGCTAAGAAAGCACAGCTCTGTTGCCTAGCTTAATTTTTGGTTTTGGGTGTATGAAATAGAGACTTCAAACTGCCCGTGTAAGGAGCCTTTTGCTATAATCTGAAATTGGATCTTTGTTTTGACAATCTTTTCTTTGGTTAAAAAGCTACGTAATTTAAAGTTAAGAGCTCAAAATCAGTGCTTGAAAAATAAAGTAGAAGTTGTTTGACAGTTTTTAGCTTAAAAGCTCATATTAAGCTAAAAACTGCTACTTTTTCCATTTTTATTTAATGAAAAATAATCTCCTTAATTTAGGGGATTTTCTATGTATATGTGCGTGTGGCTTCTCTTTTAAGAAGAAAAGCCAAAAGGAAAGTTGGCCCAAACACTACCAAGCTGGTTTGACTACTACTGGTAAAATTTTGGTTTCAATCGTAACTTGAAGGGAAGAACACATTATCGAAGCTTTAGATGGAAATCGTAATTTTGTTCATCTGTTCTGTTTGAAAATCCACCATACTTTTTCCTATCAATGGTTGTACACATTGTTAAAGGTACTATATCCAACGAGACAAGGTCATAAGCTAAGTATTGATAAATCTTCCCATTGATATTATATATTAAACAGATGGACAATAATAATTCATTACTTCAATATATCTACCTGTCAATTCATTGTTTTGCTCTGGTGCAGTTTTGCCAATATTAACTATTTCTCTGTAGCAGTTGTGAATTTACTTTTACACGATATTGTTATTATACTTTGTGAAATCAAAGTAAGTACTTCCATATTTGCTTGACTCCATTAGTATGTTGGGTGAATATAAGCATTGACAGTTTATAAGAAATACTGGTATGCTAAAATGTTGACATGGTTGATCCTCTTGAAGGGGCCTTGCTGGATCTCTGCCCAATGTCACGGATATCTCTTCTTGTGATTGACTAGGTGTTTCAATTTCACGTACTTGATTTTGGACTTGTTGGTTTTCAATATTTGAATATAGCGCATGCATGTCTTGCCACACAATCCATGATCTTTACATTCCTATATCATGATTTACTTTATGCTGTAGAAAACCGGAAGTCGAAAGAGATGCTTGCATTTTATTGAACAAGTATTGACATGATGATCTGACTGTACCGTAATGTCTTTTGCAGCACTGCTGGCTGCCCATTTGGTGAGGGCTGCCATTTCTTGCATTATGTTCCTGGTGGTTATAATGCGGTTGCCCATATGATGAATTTAAAACCTGCTGCTCCTCCACAAAGAGCTGTTGCCGCACCACCTCCTGTCCCTAATGGCTCTGCTACATCCGCTGTTAAAACACGCATATGTAACAAGTTCAATACTGCTGAAGGATGCAAATTTGGTGACAAGTGTCATTTTGCTCATGGTGAATGGGAACTTGGCAAACCTATTGCTCCATCAATTGATGATCATCGACCTTTGGGACCTCCAGCAGGTGGCCGTATGGCTGGTCGAATTGAGCCTCCTCCCTTGGCTGGTAGCTTTGGTGCCATTTCTACTGCCAAGATCAGTGTAGAAGCTTCTCTGGCTGGAGCTATCATTGGGAAGGGTGGCGTGAACTCGAAGCAGATCTGTCGCCAAACAGGAGCGAAACTTTCAATCCGAGAGCACGAGACTGATCCAAACCTTAGAAACATTGAACTTGAGGGAACTTTTGAACAGATAAAAGAGGCAAGCAATATGGTAAAAGATTTACTTTTGACTGTTTCAATGTCTGCCCCTCCCAAATCCAACCCTGGTGTTCCTGGTGCCCCCGCTCCACCTGGAAGCAACTTCAAGACCAAGCTGTGCGAGAATTTTGCAAAAGGATCTTGCACCTTTGGAGATAGATGCCACTTTGCTCATGGAGCTGGTGAATTGCGCAAGCAGGGGGTATGATTTTGTTTTTGCATCTTGTATTAGCCAGGTCTATTTTATTATTATTATTTTTATTGCCGTTGATGTTGTTGTGCATTGTTACTTAGTAGTACTCACATTAATTTTCATGTTATAGCTTTGCCGTACTAAGTTAATTTTTAAATCATCTTTTTTGCCGTTGCAAATGAGTATACTGTTCTTTTCCTTAACATGATAATTTCACAATATTAAGCGCATGTTTGATGTAAGAAAATGCCATGTTCTTATTTCATTTGGTTTGCTTTTAATCCCAAATTTATCCTGTTTTCAAAATATTTGTATGATAAACTTACTGGGTTGACTATTATAATTTATTCAAGCAAATGATTTATTAAAGCAATTGATCAGAAGTGGGACACCAGGGACCATTTTTAGAAGAAAAATAACCTCTTAATGTGGGTAAATATTAAACTTTATTTCCATTTCCACATGTGACACTGACCTAATAATGCGTATTTTGTACATAAACTTTATAATTTTGATAAAGATGGGTTGTCAATAACGACCTATTGAAGTAAATTAATGATAACGATTTTCGGAATCTGAAATGAAATCCTTAGTCCATTTTGTTAAAGAGAGCAGAAAGGTGTTGCATTATGGGTACTAGGAACACAATTAAATGAGCTTTAAATATGTCAATAATCAATTATGTCATTTTTTTAAAAAGAAAAGATGAGACTATATTAAATTGGTGCTACCAGTAAGAGTTTATTATTTTTAATTAGCTCACATGTAGTAATAAAATTTCATACCATTATAAAGTTATGCAAAATTAATTTAACTTAAACTAACTTAGAAGTATCATCATGTCTTATAAGATGGAATATTTTCATAACTTCGTCTAGTGAAATAATATGTACGATTTTGATTAGTTAAATATTATAAATTTTTATTATTATTTTGACCGGATTTTGGTTGGTTTTTACTATCTTTTTGAATTGTTAATGCTCCATGAATAAATAAGAGTATTTAAAATAAAATAAAATAAAAAGAATAAGGAGTGATAAAATAAAGAAGATAGGGTAATTAAATAAATGATAAAAGAGTCCTATTTCATGACATACTCTGACTTCTTTTTTTCCTTGAAATTCGAAAGGCTCGCCTTTATCGTTTACGACAACAACACTTTGTAAACACTTTTATTTATTGAAACAAACAGATAGGGTAACTTAACTTAGAGGAACGAAATGTTCCTCGTACAACACTGGTCCCATAACCAAAATGGTTACGTATTACGAGACACAAGTGTACAACATAAAATAAAAGGCTCTAGTAGTACAACAACATCTACAACACCAAAAACTAAATTATAATTATTCAACTGAAAGTAGGCCCACTCGTTGGAGCATTTCCTCCCCCAATGCTAGTCTGGGTCGTAGTATCCACGCCAGTGTTAGTCTCCATCGGTGGAAGTCCTCCATGCCCAGGCCCAGGTTCAGCCCCGTGCCCAATAACACACCCATGATCAGGCCCAGGCATTGCTACCATCTGGTTAGATCCAATTTGTCCAAATTCAACAGTGCAATACGAGGCAGAATCAGGTCCATGCCCATTACCTGGGAGAATCGCATCGGCCCCAGGCCCAAATCTGTTAAAGATGGAAGTCTCAGTCCCTGACCCAGTGTAGGTAACATTGTCAGACCCAGGCCCAGATAGGCTGGGCCCAGTGGTGTGGTCTGCCTCAGAATGAGTCCCGGCCCCGTGGGCCTGTGCAGCCAGAGCAGAATGTTTGACGGCCGCGTTGTGCTCACGCGCCTGGTGCTTCTCCATCTCAGCGTGATTTATCTTCTCATGTTTCTTCTGAGTCGCCATGTCCTTCTCCCTCTGATCATGTGCACTCATCTGCTCACTCTGTTCAGGCCCAATTGAAAAGTTAGCACAAGCCCATTTACAGATGCGACCCAATATTCAATTTATTCGGCGTATTGAAGAAACGAGAACAATGAAAAGTGAATGAAGAAAGGAAGAGTAAAAAGAAAACCTTCTCTTGGAGAGTGGCCTTCGTCTTCTCCAACCCAGACTTTGCAGAGGCGCCAATGTTCGCGGCGGTCTCCTTCACATTCTCCACCGCTTTCTTCGCTGCCTGCATTTTCACAAACTCACTCTTCAATCTTCGATCTTTTTCTTCTTTCTCCGACCATCAGTTTCAGGCCAATGTATATATATATAGATTCTAGTGCCCCCTTGAATTCTGACACGTGTCCAACATGCCACACGTGGCATGCTTCTAAAGGCAATGCAGTTAACAATGTGACACGTAACCGCCACGATTATGTAGGAATCTAACTTAAGGAAGTAACGGCCTTATTGATAGGTGTGCCATTTAGGGTAATAGGTTAGAAACTAGACATATTTGGAAATATTTTTTTATTATAGATAAATAACATTCATAAGAATAAAACTTTAAGTAAGGTGCACTAATAAAATGAAACTAGGAATATGAAATTTAGTCAAATAATTACGATAGGAAATAATAAATATATAGTTATAAATCAAAATTTTATTAACTTCAAAATAGTCAAATTATATTTAGTCAATTTTTTTAATCTTATGACAAATGAACTTTTTATGAGATTAAAATAGAGAAATTTGTGAAATATAATAATGAATCAATAATTTGAAAATATGTATGACAAAAAAATCTTCATTTAAAATTTTATTTAATTTAGTACAAAAATCATATGGTATTAAATTGGTTTTACATTTAAATAATTAAAATTAAAAAAAAAACTATATAATATGATAGAATTCAAATAATTATCATTATCTTTCTTTGTAAGGTTTATATTCAAAATTACATCTAGACATTAAGGTTTTCATGTTAACATTATTAGAAGAAAAAGTTTTAATTTTATTTTTTATAGAAAAATGATATTTTGATTATCATTCTAATTAATAATTATTAAATCATTTTTAATAAAAGAGTATATATATATATATATATATATATATATATATTGTAAAATAATTTTTTATATTAAATTATCCACATATTAACATTTTTGTATATGATCTAGATTGTTCTCAAATATCAATATCATATAAATATTATTATCATATTATTTACATACACGTCTATAACTAGTGTCGATATGAAGACCGTACGAATAATTCTTTCTTCCCTTCTTCTAGAAATCATGTAAAAGCTTTATAAGTTTGCATTTTCTTTTTCCTAATTTACTATAATTTTTAGGTTTATAAAAAAAAGATAAATTTGTTTAAAATATCTTATATCCCAATAGAGAGTTTTAAAAAAGGCTGATAAATTTAAAATTAAATTATACTATTTGATGCATTTCCTTAAAAAAGGAATGAAGAGAACTAAATGAAATAAAAAACACCACTAGTTTGTTCACATGTTACAATAAGTAAAAGAAAGAAAATAAAGTTTTGAAACTTTAATGTATTATAATTTTATTTTTATAAAATATCTTTGTGGATCGGGTGAATAAAAGGAAAAACGTAATAACCACTAGTTATTAATATTATTCGAGAGAAAAAAAAGAGTTTTTTCATGAGCAGAAAATATAAGTATTCTTTTATATATATAAATATTGGGTCCATTCTTTCCTTGAAAACTTATATTTGAAAGAGATAAGCATTAGAGTCCCTCTCTTCTCTCTTTTCGCAAATACCTCTTTTTGAGACACTTTTCACTTTTCATCTTCTCATTTAAATTTTTCTTTTTATTTATCTTTCATTTTTTTTCTTTTTTCTTTTTTATCATGTAATGGTTATATATATACTTATCATCGTGCTAGTTTCTATATCTGAATCTTTTTTTCTATACTTTGTTCATCTTTAATATTCAATTTTTAAAGATATTTAAATTTTTAATTTTAATCATAATAAGATTTTTCTCTATAATTATATATATTGACCGTACTTTTGCAAAGATTGTTTTGGTTACTAAACGACATAACAACATTAAAGTTAAGGATGAACCGTTTCACATATTTGTAACATGCGTTGTGGTGTAATAATGGGGATGACGCGACAGTTTGCAACTAATTTTTGTCGTAACAAATACAACAAAACTAAAGAGATGTATTCGGATATTTAAATTGTACATTTTAATAAGAAAATGGTTTTAGCATGTTTTTGTAATAAATCTCACGTTCGGGATGTTTCCTTACTAGGAAGATCTTATAAGGTGAGAGATTCTCTAACTTCTTGAGCTAGCTTTTGAGGGATGATTCTCCTCTTAGTATTATGGTTGTTACATTGGTGCTTTCATTGAGAGTTAGACAACTCGATAAGAGCTACCCACAGAGTCTTTTGACAGGTAAGAAGACTGAGTGAAATGTCGGGAAATACGATCATCAAAGACATTGACTTTCAAACGGGGTGATATATCTACAAATCCCACGTTATATCCTCTTATCCTTACATTGTTACACCTTTTTAAGGTGAAAATATTATTAATGTTATTTTTTGTTAACATATGTATTATCTTTTATATTAATTTCTCTTACTTGACTTCATATTTTATTGTGTTTGTGCTGCTTAATTTTCCAAAGAAACAAGATTTCAATGCTAACAAAGGTTTGTTAATAATAAATTTAACATTTTGCTATGTTGAAATATTAGAAACATAATAATATTATAATATATAAATAAAAAAACTTTTATTTTATAAAATTATAAATTCTATAGATAAAATTAGATATATATTAACTACTCTACGTATATCTATACCATGTGTTTTCCATTGATTTGAAAATTTAAAGGATGCATTAAAAGGATAAGATAATACAGATATGTTTTATCAACCTCATTTAATTTCCGTCAATCAAGAAAACTACTTTGAAAAGACAATGTGTGAAAATTTGTCTAACTTTTTTACATTAAAAAACATACACATAATTTTAATTTTAATCTCTATAATTGCTTCTTAATTTTTGTTTTCGTAATTTTAACTTCTTAATGTTTAATTATTCATAATTTGGGTTATTTTAATTATTTTTTCTTAATCTTGATTTTATAAGTTCTAGTTATACGTGACTTTATTTAATTTTTATTTTTAGATATATTAAATTACTATTAAATCATATATTTTAGTAATAGCCTACCTAATTATTATTCTTTTTAATTATGTATTAAAATCATATTGAGTATCATGCATTTTCTTTTTCATGTCCTATTAAAATTTAAAGACATAAAAAACATTTGTAACCAAAATTTTTGATAATTAAAACTGAAGGATTAAAATTGTGAAAAATTCAAAATATAATTTATAAGTTGCTGTCTACGATGCAAAAATCCCATGTGATGTACAATAAAACTATTTATTATGATATTATCTACCAAATTGTCAAACTATTTAATAAAAAAAAAATCTTATCCTTTGATCCATACCCCACGTGAAAAATTCAATCAAGAACTGTATGATTAAAAATTAATTCATGCTTTGTGCGCGTCTAATTATTTATGCATATGAAAATTCCTAAAAGTTGTTTTATTTGTTCACGACTTCAATTTGTTGACGTTTAAGGTGTTCACAGGTGTTGTATTATAAATGTTTTGTCTGTTATGTTTTCACTGTGTGTGCATGCTTCATAAATGCTTGTTTACGTTGACTGGTTACCACCCTCCACACATATTTGACACGTTCATGGTAAGTACCTATTCTTCTACACAAAAATCAACTATCTTCTCTGTTTTCACACTCCACCTACTTTGGAACAGAGCGTGGAAGGATTGTAAAACGTGCGTGCATTCTATAAAGTAGGGTGCTTCTGAAATGATTGCTTATTTTATTATTAAAAGTGATTCAAGGACGTCATTTTTCATCGTTTAATTCTACTATCTGATAACTCCCATTTGAATTTTACACGAATATACCAGTTTCAAGGTAAATGCAAGTGGTCCACCGTGAGAAGGTTTTTCATTATCACACGCTTTAATTTATATCAGTTATGGAAAAAAAAATTATCAGCCTCACCCCATAAAAGTACTGATATTGATGATGATGTTTACACACTTCAATACTAACAGAATTTGGAGCACCAATCTCTATCTATAAAGAACTTAACCCACTGTTACAAAACTCATAGAAACTAGTTTTGAAGATTGAATAAAGTTCAAAACTCTGTTCCTAATCGTCATCAGCAAAACATTCTGTTGCGTGAAAATGGGGGGGGGTGGCCGAAGCTCTGCTCCGAAAGAGAAAAACCCACGGGACGACCACGTTTCAAAGAAGCGCGTTCCACACGCAAAACCACCGTTCAGTCTCAGCCAAGTGAAGAAGGCCATTCCGCCGCACTGTTTCCAGCGTTCGGTGCTTCGTTCGTTCTCCTACGTCTTCTACGACCTCGCCATAGCCTCATGTCTTGTTTACCTCGCGCTAAATTACTTCTCTACCCTTCCCCACAACCTCTTACTCTTGGCCTGGCCCCTCTACTGGGTCATCCAAGGTTCCGTCCTCACCGGCGTTTGGGTCATTGCGCACGAGTGTGGCCACCACGCTTTCAGCGACTACCAATGGCTCGATGACTCGGTTGGTCTCGTTCTCCATTCGTTTCTCCTCGTGCCCTATTTTTCGTGGAAATATAGCCACCGCCGCCACCACTCCAACACGGGGTCCCTTGAACGCGACGAAGTGTTTGTGCCGAAAACAAAGGCGAGCATTCGTTGGTATTCTAAGTACCTCAACAACCCTTTTGGGAGAGTTCTCACTCTTGTTATTACCCTAACCCTAGGTTGGCCTCTCTACTTGGCCTTCAACGTTTCGGGTAGGAACTACGAGCGTTTCGCGTGCCACTATGACCCTTATGGCCCCATTTACTCAGATCGTGAAAGGTTTCAGATTTACGTCTCCGATGCCGCGATTCTCGCCGTGTGCTATGGCCTCTACAAGCTTGTCTTGGCCAAAGGGTTGGTTTGGGTGGTTTGTGTTTATGGGGTGCCTTTGATGGTGGTAAATGGGTTATTGGTGCTGATCACTTTCTTGCAGCACACTCACCCTGCGGTCCCTCACTACGATTCCTCGGAGTGGGATTGGTTAAGAGGTGCATTGGCCACTGTGGACAGAGATTACGGGATTCTGAACAAGGTTCTTCATAACATCACTGATACACACGTGGCTCATCACTTGTTCTCCACGATGCCGCATTACCATGCAATGGAAGCCACCAAGGCTATAAAACCTGTTTTGGGAGACTACTATCACTTTGATGGGACTCCTATCTATAAGGCAATGTGGAGAGAGACAAGAGAGTGCATGTTCGTTGAGACTGACGAAGATTCTCAGGCCAAAGGTGTTTACTGGTACAACAATAAGCTTGAATGAGTAGAGCTTCGTGTATTATTTGGTTGAGACGTGAGAGCTTAGCTTGGTTATGCGTCTTATACAATTATAATTTCCTGATTAGTGGCAATATTTTGGTCGCAGAATTGTACACCATATTATCCTGTTATGCATGGTGAGTTGAAACCAATTTATCCATTAATGGTTGGAAACCCAATTATAGCTTATTTCAGTCATGGCATATACGTAAACGCAATGAAAAGAAAGTGGAGTTTTACTTCTGCTTTTGTTGTTTTCTTTTGTCTTTGTCAGGTTTATAATTTATTTCAAAAAAATTATGGATTGAAAATAGGTTGTTTAACATAAAACTTGTTCACTTTTTTATTTTATTTAAATATTATTGATATATAATAAAAAAAGGTTGTCAACTTATTATATTTTAAAAAATTAGCTGTTAAAATAATATCTGATTGTACTAAACTTGTTAATTAGTCTAATGGAGCATGATAATCACAATTGCTTCAACACCACTAATTCGATATATTCCAGATACTATACAGTATTCTTCATCCTATTCGCGCTTACTTGTCAAAATAGGTGTTTGGTTCAATTAGGTTTGATCCTATCTATGAATAATTAATGATTTATATTTTTCTATCATAATTTTTTTAATCTAATTTTTTTAAGTCCATTTTCACACTCCTGTTAACATATATGTATAATGGGTGAACCATATATTTTTTTAAATTTTAATATATTAATTCATTATTTAATTTTTTTATTTATGAATTAGTTCATTAATTGTTTTAACATGTTTTTCGATTTATAATTTTCGTATAATTTAAAGATAAAGTTATTTATTTAAAAGAAAAATAATTTCATATTTAGATTTAGGATACCTGAATTCAAAATGGGTATAAAAAAAATAGAAGCAGTGCAGTATGAGAAGTGACTAACGAGGGTATTAAGAATGCAGGAGTCTTGACCACATTGTAGGTTTATGGGCCTTAAGGTCCAAAATGGCATCGAGCAAAGCAGATATTGTTTCTACACCACACACTTTTCTATGCTGATGTGTGGCCCATGAAGCCCACCAAATTCAACCCATAATTTGTGAGGCTTATAGAAAATATAAAATAGAATAAAATCCGTTGTAAAATGTAAAATTTGGTGACGTGGAAGTATTATTTTGGGTGGGTAGTATCGGAAAGAGTGAAAATGGAGAGTGGTGCAGCGTGCACGTTAGAAAAAGGAAAAAGAGAAAGAAAGAAAGTGAGTGAACATGGAACCACGTCAGAGAAAAGAAGAACCACAACTCACGCACATAACATTGCTGCACTCCCACACGTCGCCCACGTGGCCAACCATTCCATCGCTGCAAACAAACAATACGATGTTGTGTTTCACATCGTCATTACAGATATCGTCTTCGGATCACACGCTCACACTCAGACATGCCATCACGTACCAACCATCACCCCTTTTTCGTGTTTCACATCTTTCTTCTTCTTTCTACCATATTTTCACATTAATTATATTAAATCAAAATATTATCTCATTTTAAACCATATTTAAGTATATTTATTTATAACTTTCCTATTATTATTTTCAAATTACAAAATAATAATACACTAATTAACATAATAAAAATATTATATATAATGTTAGATTGATAGTGGTGTTGAACAGTATGAAATATTGAAACTAAAAAGGTAAATAAATTATTTAGTCTTAAAATAAAGACATTATAAAAGTTTGAAATTATTTTAGAAAAAAACTGATTTACAAATATCTCAAAATATATTTTTGTCAATAAAATTTATATAAAAAGATCATATAAAATATTGATATTTCTCATTTTATTTTTAATTAATTTAACATATAGTTTGATCAAATATTTATAATTCAATAAGTTTGTTAAACAACTTTTTAGCTACTTTTCATCTCTCAGTCACTCTTTCAACTAACTACTTCTATCGAATATAATCTTAAAATGTAAAGTTAATATATTTATATATCTCTCAAACACATGAATCTATAAGGAAACACAATTGTTTTTCGATTTGGACTAAATTATTTGAAACGTTTACATTTCAATCGTTGTGTTAATACCTCGAAACAGGAAAGTGTGTTTAGCTCCAAGTTTGGCACAACAACTTATCAGACATTAAAAAAAAAAACTTGTACCTTATGAGTGTCAGAGAATTAAGTGTAACAAATAATTTTATCTTTCCCACACTTTTTCTTCGTATCATTATAAACCAATTTCCATTCCTTGGATCTAACCAAACATATTCAAGTTTTCTTTGTCAAGATATGAAATCCATGCGATGAATGCATTTTGGAAAGAAAAGACATATATATTCAACTATACATGTTTATACACACGTTTTCAGTATCTAAATTTAAGTTGAATTTTCATTGAAATTTCAGTATCTAAATTTAAGTTGAAATTTTTCATTGAATAAAATGATAAAATTTAATAATTTATAAGTATTAAAAATTCATAAAATAATATTTTGAGATCTTGAGTTGAAAATGATATAATTTTTTTTATATAATTGAGTGATATCTCATTCGTGAAAATTTTGTTATTAGATTCTCCAACTCACAAGATTATTATATTTGTTTTAAAACTTATAATTAAAATTAAGTTATGAATTTTTTTAAGATAATTTATTTCTAAAGGCAAGAAGAGAAAGTAAAGGAATTCTTAAAGAAGTTGTGAAGAATATTTTGTAAGAATGAATTGTTTTATCTTAACTTACGTTTGGCTTAACTTATATAAACTAATTTTAACTTATGATTTTTTTTTCCATATTTTTTTCTTTTAAACTTATGGAAAGCAAATTCTAAGTAATTTACCTAGTTGAAAGTCTTTAGTTTATATTGGACTGTCTTAATATAAGAGTAAATTTATATAAAAATGTTATATTTTTTTTCCTTATTTTCGTCTCACTTTCTATTGAACAATCTATTAAAATATAGTTTTATAAAATTGACCAAGAAAAAAAAATTCAAAACTATTTCGAAATTTAAATCTTTCAAGGGAGAGTATATAAAATTTAATTACTTTCTATACATTATTTTAAAAGTGATTTTTGAAAAAAATAGTCAAAAACGATGATAGTAAAATTCAAATTTTATATAAAAAATTTTACCATTTACATGATGAACTTGAGGAGGTGAAAAAAAAAAAAGAAAAAAAAATTGTTTCAATTAAGAAAAATAAACTAAAAAAATAGAAAAATAAAATAAAAATTTATGAATATTTTGATTAATGTAAATGATAAAAAAATTATTTAATAAATTTATCTTGAGATGATCAATTATCCTTCTAACGAGGATCAATTCTCGATTCTATTTTTATTATATAAGAATTGTTTGTCTATTTCTCTCTCAAGTTTTCACTCTCAAATCTACTTTATTTATTGAAAACGTTTATCACTTCGATTCGCATGATATATATATATATATATATATATATATATATATATATATATATATATATATATATATATATATTATTGAAAATATACACAGCGTTACTGTTATATTAGGGATCGTTTTCTTTTGTATTTAAATATTAGGGTTCCATTAGGCCTTCCTATTATGTATCATCACCTTTCAGTATATATATATATATATATATATATATATATATATATATATATATATATATATATATATAATGAGAAGAATATTTTTATGAATTAATACAGCTGTTTTATTACTAAAGAAACTGGGCAAAACTCCAGCTGAAATTAATTGAAAAATGTGGAAACATAGTACTTTGGAGGTCGTGAGATTATGATTGTATGAGCATTTCGAAAAGGTCAATATTATCTGGGTGTTCCATCAAGTTATGACAAGTGGCAACTCTTCAACTTAGATCTTTATCTTTAACAATGGAATCGATGAATAAATGACTGAGACACCATATGAGAGACACAGAATGATCAACAGATACAATTGCTGTTGCAAAGATAAAGGTACTTCTTAATAAATGTGAAATCATTAATGTATTGGTCTAAAATAAAACATAAGTATTTAGTTTTTAATAATTATAATTTTAAGTCACCCCTTAAGATTTTTTATATTGAACCATAAACTTAATAATATCTATTTAAAGTATCATAAAAAAATAATTAAAATATAAGAAGTAAATAAACAAACAAAATGAATAATTGAACGAAAAAAATCATATTTTTTTAAACAATAGAAAACATATGATTTTATAGTTCAGTTTGCACGCGAAGAGAGTGAAAGCGAAAAAGGGGACGCGTAATGCAAACATAGAATAAAAGAAAAGCAGAGTTAAGATAGAGGATATGAGAGGATATGAGAGGAAGAGATCCAAAAAGAAGCAACAGGTAAAAAGCTGCACGTACATTTTGCTCTTCTGTAACGCAGATTACGTATATCTGAGAGCTGTTGTTAATTTATGCAAGTATTCACATGGGGGGTTCAATTTTCCAACCACACAGATTTCGTGTAACAGCATACCTAACCCCAAATATTCAAACCAAGTTTCATGTACTAGCTACAAAATGATTTGCATAAAGAGGTCCTCTAGTATATGGCATTTTGGTCAAGTGTAAAGAGTACTATATAACTTGTAAAATATATAAACCATACGATCCTAAAGAAATTGTAGGCTTCTGTGATTTAAATAAGCTAATATTGCAAGAATATATCTGCTTTAGCAGGTTACTGTGGTTTATATATGAAAGAAAATCGTAATATATTCTCCTCCTGTTGCATGAATATTTTACAGTGCCCTTTAAATAAAGATTTTGACTTGTAACATTTTAGCTATTTTATGGTGGAAGGGACTTGAGTTTGGCCTGTAAGATATATATGTAGAATGAGATGTGCCCTAAACTGATAAATCTGCAAGGGCTTGAAGGAGAGATTCCACCCAATGACTGGGGTGTTGGTGGCTTGATTTGAAGAGGAAAGACCAATTTAACAATGAGGTCTTTGTACTCTCTTTAATATATAATATAGCTAGCTAGCTATAGCTAAGGATGCATTATGATTGTTAAAATTTATTGGTCATACACTACACTATTGATAACATTATATGTTACAGAAAAAGAAAAAGAACTTCCAACTTTTCAATAGAATTGAAGTAGAGTGTTTGTGAGAGTTGATGATTCTAAAAATGAAGAGTGAGTTAACATTTTGAATCAAAGACCAACAGGTTGCATGTGGTTATTTCAGGGAAGGTATATTGAATAAGAAAATGTGTCCACATCCATTTTTCCTCCTTCAAGGTGTGATACAGAAATGAATAAAATAGAGACATATATAGCCATAAACAACAATTCTCTTGTATAATAATCAAGAGTGGGAAATCAGGGGACCATTGAGTTCTGATTACTTTATTGACTCTCTCTTTGCATTTGTCACACCACCATTCATCTAATCCTTGCTCCCAACAGACAGCTTCATATTCTCCCCTTTCCAATTTATCCCTTTTTATAATATCCCTCCTTTTGCATCAATCCATGCCTTATATGCCCCCTATAAATATCTGATTCCCTTTCTTCTTTCCTTTTAACAATCACACAAATTAACCAAACCTCACTTCCAATTTTCCCTTCTATATGTGCCTCTTGTTCTAACTTGAACATTTGCCATGGAAAACATAAGGCTCAGGAAACACAACACTCACGCATGCATAGCCAATTCACACACATCTTCCCTAGCCATGCACAAAGATTCCCACATGGTGTCCAAAACCAAACCCAAGATTCGCATAATTCACATATTTGCACCAGAGATCATCAAGACCGATGTGGAGAACTTCCGGGAACTTGTGCAGAAGCTAACTGGGAAACCAAGTGCAGAAAAATGTTACAAGAAGAAGAAGGCAAGGGCAAAAAGAGAGGACGAATATTCAAGGAGCAGCAGCACCAGTGGAAGTGGCATGTCAGAAGATCACAACACAGTGATCACAATGAAGAATAATAATGGAGGGTGTTGGGGGTTGGATGTGACAAGGGAAAAAGTCAAAGAAGAGGTTGGGGTTTGTTCCAGTGATGAAAGTTCTGGTGGGTACTTGGGGGGTTTCACTGATTTGGAAGGGTTTATTTCTGAGATTGGTGGATTTCCTTTGCTCCCTTTGGATGCTAATCATATGATGCAAGGGTTTGAAGAACCTCAACTTCTATAGGATAGATATATTTATATTTGCTAGATTTATATATATATATATATATATATATATATATATATATATATATATATATATATATATATATATATATATAGATAGATAGAAGAGAGAGAGAGAGAGAGAGAGAGAGAGAGAGAAAGATCTTTTCTTCAATTTGGTGGTTCACACACATATATATATCCTTTTTGTGCTTGATTATGAAATGGTTTGGCTTTGCTTATGATATATTTATATAGAATGACTGACTTATCTCTTTCATTTCCATCTTCTTCTCCAAATTTTAACTTCTCCCATGCTTAAATGTCTGTGTTTCACTTTGGAGAAACCAGAAAAGTCAAAGACATTCAAGCTGAATACATATCATTCATTAATACACATTTATTTGATTCACTGTTCTGAGGAAGAAGAATATTAGCATGTGTAAATTTCGATTCTTCAATTCTATATATTCTCTTAAGGATCGGAGACAGAACTCAGGTTGTGGATATTGCCACCACCAGAAAGGATAATGTTCCACTTTTTTTATCCTATTATATATATATATATATATATATATATATATATATATAATAATAATTATTATTATTATTATTATTATTATTATTAGTGTATTGTAAAGGGTAAATTGAATATTCATAATATTTGAATTTATTTCTACTCAAAATATTTCTTCCAATTTTTAATATATAGTGAATTTATTTTTCTCGTTTTTTTCATGTAAAATTCATAAAAGGAAACAAAGGATAAACGTTTGGATTACTTTAAGCAAGCAAAAAGGGGAACGACAAAAACTAAGTATTGCTTTTCTTGGTACAGTTAATAATGACATTTAAGGTCCAAATGCATGGTTTTTTTCTATCATTATCTTCTACATATATTTAGGGAGAAAACATTACAATATTTTAAACTTCACTTGTTTGAAGAGAAAAAAAAATCAGAAAAAGTTAAAGAGAGATTGAGAGAAAACAGTGAAGGGGAAGAACCTAATACATGTAATAAATCAAATGATGAAAAAATAAAAAAAGAAATAAGAAAACAAAAGAGATAAAAGAAGTTGAATATAAGAAGCAAATATGATTATTAATTCCAATAAGGCATCCATATCCAATAGTATCCAAGTTGGAATAGTCTATTAGAATTTTGAAACACCAACTAGGGTTTTAAAACTTAAAAGGAGTGCATATGGATGGATCCACCATTTTAAAATGACCTAGTTTAGAACTCCTCTTATTAATTTAATATACAACACATTGGGAGGTGATTCAATTTGATTTTTTTTAATAAAAAATAAATTAAGGAGACATATATAATTTTATTTTATTTTTAGTTTAAAGTGAGTTATGTTAATGAAATATTTAAATTTTTAAAACAATAAATGCATTACTTTTATACATTTTCTCACAATAGAGAAATTAAAAATATGAAGGTATTACATTAGCAAAACAAAATTAAAGGGGGTGGGTTTACATACATTCTAATTGAAAAGGGAAAATTACACTTATGTATCTCTTAAAAGACATGTTAAATACACTTTTTATGTTTTCAATAAAATTATTTTAGTATTAAAAATATATTACTTTTTTTATATATTTTTAATAAGCACATTCATTTTCTTTGTTTTTAATAAAATAATATCCAGTTCCTTTATTTTATTTAAAGAGAACATATTAAATATAATTTAAACAAAAAATCATGAAAATTAAAAACTAAAATTTTAAAATATAAGAAAGAATTTATTATAAAAAAATTGGATGATTTAATTATTTTATATTAAGAATATAACAAATTATATTATCAAACAGTTACAGATTTTATAAAAATATAAAAATTGTATTTTAGATTAAATATTATTTACTATAAAAATGAATAGTTATAACATATATCATAAACTTACTAATAATTATATTTACATATGATTTTAACGCAAATATAAATTAAATAAAAAATATAAGTCTTTGTTAATACCATAAGAAACGCTATGCTTATTTTAAAATTAGAGAGCATTAATGTCATATAGTAAGATCTTAAAAGGTATTAGTATAATTTCTTCTTACATAAATCAATCAATTTTCTCTTGTCAATTATTTTAATTTTTTATATTTAAACTTTTAATTTTTAATATTCATAAGTTTCTTATTAAGTAATTTTTAAATAAAAAAAGAATATTAAAAAATAGCGGTTGTGTATTATTTATTAAAAAAATTAAAGAGATATGAATATCTATTTAAAAATTAGAAGAACATAAATGTTACTTTATTAAAAATACAAGACAAATATTTTTAAAAACAATTACAAGAGTATAAATATGTTATTATTAACATAAACGAATGTTATATATATATATATATATATATATATATATATATATATATATATATATATATATATATATATTAAAGTGAGCAAGAAGAAAAAAGTGTGATATTTATAAATATTAAATGGTGACTTTAAGTGAATCGGTTAATTAGGTTAAGATTTTTGTAGAATTTGCGACCAAATCCAATAAATTACGGGTATACAATTTGACTAAAATATAATTCTTTTAAAATATACTTTCATTTAGTTTTTTCACATAGACTTAATTATATCATATATCACTATGTGTAAAATAGTTTTTTTATTATTATAATATTAATAAGGTTATTCATTGTAAAAATAATGAATATGATTTATTTTATATCTAAAATGATATTATCATATAATTCCTATATAACTTAATTAAAGCAACAAAAATGTTGCAGATAATTAAACTGAAAATTGAATAAAATTAAAACCCTAAAAATATATAAAGATAATACAAGCACATCTTATCTTAAAAAGTTTATTAATGATTCAGTGGTTTAAGATCTCTAACAGTGGACTTGATTATAAAACTACACCATAATTAGTTAATTAACTATATCCGAATCATGATTAGAACGCTTGATCAAATTTTAACACCAATATCAAATGCACGATGATGTTTTTTATTGGAAAAAAAAATGACAACAATAAAAGGTTGACTTCTAAAATTGGTGGTCGAAGTCAACAGGTTAGGTAATAATATCTTTAATTATTTATTGTAAATTGCATTATTAAATATTTGCATAGTGTATTGTATTGTATTATTCATATTAAGTTCGAAAGTTTTACATTATTGAAATTAATGGTAGACAACATTTTTTTTCTTTTAAACGTGGTTGTTTTCAAATTATCAACTTTAATTTCATTTTCCTAATACTTATGACACAGCAATAGCGTTTACATTAGGAATGTTTATATAATTAGGATCACATAAAATCTTCTTAAATACCTCTAAAAAAATGACTTTTAAATTACACATACATTAATTTTAACTGGTGAAAATAAATCTAATTTAAATTTTAATACAGTCACAAATAAATGTTGAATTTTAAATTTATAATTTCTTTTATCCAATTCAATCTCCAACCAAAAACTCATATGAATCCAAAGGTTGATATTTACATTAAATATGTGATAATATCTTAAACATTTTGGTGAGTAGAGAATTGTTTTGAGAGTTGGTAGAGACTGGACTTGACTTTAGAGCAAGTTGTAGCTCCATCCAGGGTAAAAGATGAGACAGATCATTATGACAGTGCAACAATTTTATTCAACATTTTGTCAAACCAGTGTTATTAATTGTTAATATTTTCTGTAAAAAATGTTCACATTGGCCTAAATGTAAATGCCCTATTAAACTATTCAATGGTGGAGCAATTTGTCACCAAGTGATGTGGACTTAAACTGATGAAAGCACAATTTTTTCAAACAGCATAACACCTAGGGTGGAACATCTTAGAAACTTAGGACCACATAAATTAGGTTGTAAGACTCATTAAACTAAAGGCATTAGAATTATATTTTAGAAATAATTCTTGTTAGTTGGGTTTGTAATTTTGTTTTGAATTTGTAAAATTAATTAAAGTGGTGTAGCTTGTATTTTGTGTTTTTTTTCTTGAAAAATAAGTCTAGAAAATCTTTTTATTCGACACAAAAGATAATATCTAAAATCAATTTTTACTGTACTTCATCCTTCTTTATGTAAAATCAAGTTAAGTGATTTCCTCCTAAGAAAAGTACTATGGATTGAGGGTGGTGACGGTCTTCTTTGGAAGTTTGTGTGGTACATTATGAATTGGTAAAAGAATAATATTATGCCTCTCCAGAAAACTTTAATACTATTTGCTTTCATACACGAGAGAATATGACTCTTACCATACGTGTTCATGCTCTTTTTGTTATAAAACAGAGCCATAACCTGCCTCCACTTCTGCTACTTCACTTCAATATACATCTCTAATCTTTCTATCCATAAAAAAATAGATGAAGAGGGTAAGATGACTTTTGAAAAGTGCAGAAAGAAATCCTAAATCGAATGGTTTATTTTCTTTCTTCTAGAATCATTGACATTGACCCAATTGGAAGAGTCAACCAGAAAAACAAAACAAAAAGAAATTAATGGTAGAGTTTCTATAGAATGTATGGATCAAAGGCAGATATTGGCATTTTATTTCAACAATGATGGTTGTATGAGTAGCATTATTTAATTTCTACATCAAAGAACAGCTTTGTTGTGAAACTAAGAATGAAATCCAAGGTTTTTGTAAGAATTTGTGTCGGCTTCAACCCATATTCACATTTCTACCCTGTGTAGAAAAACTAAAAGGAGTTTCAAGAGAAATTTGATTCATCATCATGAGTAAGGAGGGACAAAATTCACTTCCCAAGTAATATATAGAATTTCTAGCTTTCATACTCTGGACTGGAATCTCCGAAGGAAGATGGTGCTGCATCCAACCTCGTTAAAACTTCAGGAATCCCAGCCGTGTTCCTTATTATCTGGTGTCAAAACCAACATAAACATTCAGATATAACCACAATTTGATGTAATTTGTAGCTAAAAATGACATTATATACATTGCATCTATGACTACCCTCTAATTGAATCACAACGACCAGTTAAAACAAAAAGTGGAAAGTAAAGAATATTTGAGTCGTATCTCCTTTTTTATTTTATTTTTTTCAATGTTACTGTCACTTTCACAATCAGTAGAGAGACATACAAACACACTAGAAGACAACACTGAATACTCCCTGATCTGCATTTGGCTCTCAGCTAAATGCCATATTATTGAGGAAGTAACCCTACCAGATTTTGAAGAGTCCACAATAGATGCCAGGTACTAAGCAATTCAGTATGACTGAATATGTACTGCTTTATTTTTCTGGTGAATTAGCATGTGTTTCTTTCACGTAAAAGGATAAGACACGGTGGAAACCAATCATGTTTTACTCATGGTATGATCAAAGGTTTAACACGCATCTTATTCTTAACCAAATTATAAAAATGTGTGACCACATTCCAATTTTGGCAATTCAAGTAAAATACATCCAGAACTTCAGTTGGAAAAACTTGTTACGCAAAACTTTATACACATGTATATAACGACTTTAACAATGTATATTTGGAACTCCTTAATCCAGAAAATGGCCATATCCCCATATCATATTTTCAGTTTAATAGTACTCGAGTCTATGCTTCATAATGTATGCATCAAAATTTCAGATTTCACATCAGAACTGCCAGCATTGTCATCTACAAGGGCACACACATGCATCAAATTTATAAAAATTTGACTACTGAGAATAAGTATGTTAAACTTACAAGTATCTCCTCATCCAGATAAGAAATCATGAAGAGTCTTTGAAAGCTGCCACCTTCGTACACAAGAAAAGTGATTAGGGTTTTCACACCAAAATCTGAATAAAAGTGAAAGTTGAATATACATTTGTCTACACATTCGTGACAGAAATAGAAAGATAGGTCAAGCTTTATTGAATGAAAACAAGGGCAGAACTCCCTGTGAGAATGATACACATTCTAAACCCACTCCTGATACAACTTCCTAACTCTGAAAAGAGTCCCCAACCATTTCCCTTCTGAAGTTATTCAATGGTTTACATCACAGTCTACTACAGGAAAACTACCCATAGCTGGGCCCATCCAGCCGCAGCCCAACTTCCTTCTAAAATATACTTGCTTAATCACAGTCCTGCTATCATCTTATCTTTCTGCATATATATTTTGAGAGTAAAATAATCAAATAATGTTATAGTGGACATCTACCAACATAAGGTATTTCAGAATTTTTCTTGGATATCTAACCATTTCAAGCCAGGCCATGCCACATGTACCTTTCTTTTTTCTTTTGGAAACACGCAACATGTATCTTTAACTATTGACAAAAGTTAGAAATGATAAATCACGAGGGATTGTCATTATTGGAAATGTCAAGCAATAGCTGCAGAAAAATGGACAGTAAGGGTGGCATAACACAATTTTTAATATCTGAATGAAATTATAGAAACAAAAATGAGGTTCAAGTTTCATATAGACAAGGTATTTCCCAACCTATTGGTTCTACAGATTTCATGTTCCAACCAAAGTGAAATGAAATCAAAATTCAAGAGATAGTGCTTATCTACTACACTTCGGTCAAAGGACTTACGAATAAATATAGAAAATTAGCAGTAGCTTACTTAGAGGAACTTTCAGCCCACTGGCAACAGGATCACGTATTGGGGCAGGAAGTTGTTGGAAAGCATTAGCTGCCTGCCCAAGTGCACCTTTAAGCTGTTCTGGTACTCTCTCTTCAATAATTGTTGGCGACACAAAACCCCCTTCAACATACTCCTCTTTCATTCTAAGTGGCCCCTCCACAGATAACTTGGTTGAGAGAATGAATTTACTATCAATCTACACTTGATCAGAGTTAATCGAAAATACACTAATGGGAAGATATCAACAAGAACACAATCAGCAAAGACAGCTTTAAACATGACAAAGGTGTACATTGTACAATAGTATGTTGTGTATGCATTATCATAGCTTTTAAGAAATATATCAACTAAAAATAAATTGAAGTTGAAGTTGCATAGATGAATTCCCAAATTAGTTTTACTAACTACTACTGACACAAAGGTACTATTATTATGTTCCATTTGCTGATACGTAGTATTTCCTCCCTTGCCATTCATTGTTTGGTCCCACTGTCCCTAAAACCTTCTCCAAGTCTAACATTACCAAGTCACTACCATCTTATATTTTTTCTTTATTGTTTCGTGACTGCAGCATCAAGAACAAGTTAATAGAAGTTAAATATGAACCTGAGTGACATGTCAGCTCCCTCAGGCAGTATGATATTCCCTATTCACTGTTATTCAAAATAAAAATATGTACCTGAAAAAAGACTAGTATGCAATGTGTATGATCTGTCAAAAGAATTTAATCATTTTCAAGAGCACCTACATTCCATGTAGCCTACCTCTCCTAGTACGATAAGGCTCTTGTTGTTATTTCAAGATCACTTCGCTATGAAATGAGTACAAAAGTTTTTTCTATCCTTCTAGTGTAACCACCGAGTCAAAATGTAAAAATTTAAAACACAACATGGTTGTCAATGACGGCACTGTAGCACTGTAGCAAAGTGTCCTGGATGATGGCTGCTACAAGAAACTAATAGCATAGTGTTTTGCATCATGCAGATGTTAATAAGGGCTAAAATGGCAATGGAATGGTATTCATCAGAGTATAATGGAGCTATTTGCTGTTCACGCCTGACAGCCAGAGCCCCTCCATTTCTCAGCCAAACCTTGACAGGTTACACACAATCCAGCCCAAAAACTGACTTCAAACATTTAATTGGAATGATAGAAGTAATCCCCACAAAAGTTGGTGTATGCAGTGTAATATAAAATCATTCATATATCTTCACCTACCAAATTTAATTTTTGGGCTAGCTGCTTCATTACATAATATATAATCAAATGGTCTAGATTTTTATATTTTCTGTCCACATTCTTATTATATAAAGTTAAATTTCAGCATAAGGTAGGTGGGCCTACGCATTGGCCATGCTTCAAGGCCAAAGGGATTTTATGTGAGTGTTTAGGGATGTGATATGAAACCATTCATATGTCTTGCCCTAAACTTAGCTTTTCTAGATATTTGGTTCATGACTATTGAAAAGGGTGAAAATCTTGAATTATATACAGAAAATTACAACCGAAGCTAGAAACACTTCATAAATGCTAAATTAAGATTTGTATATGCATAAAAAAATTGCAACTCAGAAATATACCGAGTTTAATAATGTCATGTTTGCAGTAATCTTTGCATTTCCATCCTTAATAACAACATCCATTTTTGACAAATTAGCCAAACTTGAAGGAAAGTTTCTGCACAGATAAAAGCACACAAGAGCATTGTTACTCACCAATGAGATAAATCCAAATTTAATTACCTTTTACATTCTTATAATCAAAAGTCACCAATCTGAAGTCCCATGATGATAATTGACATCGACAAGATAAAAGAAAAAGTTCAAAGAGAAAACTCACTCAAATATAAACCTTGCAGCAAACAAGCCTGGACTTCCCGATCCAAACCACTCAAAGTTCCACCGCCCCTCCAAGAAGGGTGATCTGTAGCATAAAACTGCATTAACATCTAATACAAAATCATAGACATGGATAATCTCAATCACTTACGTGGTGGGGCGAGGTGTTGGATTGAGCCGCTCAAGACCAGTTATCCTTTCATTCACGTCAATCTTTTGCCATTCAGTAGTCTTCCCAGAGACTAAGGCCTCAAAGCCCCCTGCATCTTTAAACTGACAGGATGTCTCCAGAGTAAGTATGCTTAAGTCCAAACTCAATGATTGCAAAAACCAACATAAGCAAATTACCCCTTTTCATATTCAAGTAAATTCTATCGTCGTTCTAGCAGGTAACCAAGTTCATCAGCAGACACAACGCCCTAATAGAATCTAGAGTAAATTACACTCACGACCCTCTGAAGTTTCTTGAGCTTGCGCATGTCTATCCTATTTTTTTAACATTTACAGCAACCTCCCCATACTGATACACGATATAATTTTCAACTATCCCATATTAGCACAGGAACAAAATTTCCCCTTGTTTTCTTAGCATAAGTAAATGTGAAACAGATATAAAACAGAAAATCATTTGTTTGGAAATCAAAGTGAAAGGAATCGAAATTGTCCACAAACCTAGGCCCTAACCCCAATTCAAACCAAGCACGATGCATGCTATACACCTATCCAGTATCGACACATGTTGGTAACTTTCATTCCCCCAAAGTCATCAAAAACCGTCTGCAACCACAATTATAGCTACCACATCATGGTTACCAGGGTCTCCACAACCTATTTTTCTACAAAGAGCATCCCCAACCGCAATTTGAAACCTCGCACCCATTAAAAAAAAAAAAAACAGTAAAACTAATCTAACATGAAAAAAGGGTGGTATACAGAGCCATACCCATTATCTAAAACAGCAGCAGATCCTTTTCTTTACAAACAAAAGGCAAAGCAAAGGCCCAAAGTAAATGGGTAGGTCCCAGAAAACGCAAATAGGGAATATACAAAAACAAAAGAAGCTCACAGCCAGAAGAAGCGATTCTTTGGCGGAAAGGCGTTCCATTTCCTTGGCGTATGCTGCAGGGGCACCCTGAACAGCTTGCTGAACCATGGCTCTGCACACACGGATGCATCTTCTGGTCGAGGCTCTCTGGGTTGGAGACAGTGTCAACGAACACTGAGAAGAGAATTTGGAAGAGGTGCATGGGATACACGTGGCGATTGCGGAGATACAGCCATGTGAAGAAGCTGAAGCAGCCATTGACATTGTTTGAAATGAATTGAGTGAATGAACGAATGGTTTGTCTCTTATGGAAGTGCTTCTTCAATTTGTCATCACTCGCGAATCGTGAGTTGAAAATTTACTACTGAGAATCAACACGAATGGGGTGCCTCACTTTTTTTACTATAATTTTCATTTTTTCAATTTTCAATTTCACCTTCCTTTGTCCTAATCCTAATCCTAACCTCACCACTCCCAACACAACGCCACGTTGGTGTCTGTTTCTGATTTTGGAGAGCGTGCTGGTCACTGATCTATTTACCTAAACATGGATTATATTTTCACATTCCAAACATTCAATCAACGTCCAAGGAACATTTCCGTTTATTTAATGGATGAAGTACTTTTTTTCCTTTATTATCCAAAATATATAAGGTAAAAAAAAAAACATTTTTTTCTGTTTCTGTGTAAACACAAGGTATTAAAAATCTTAAACATAAGAAAATAAAAAAATTAAACTTGTGGAGATGCGGGGGATCGAACCCCGTGCCTCTCGCATGCAAAGCGAGCGCTCTACCATTTGAGCTACATCCCCGAATGAAACATATACTCTCTTTTTTGTTATTTATTTTATTTATTTACTCCCTAATATCTTCATGCTTATTTTCACTCTCATTAATTTTTAATCAAAGACATTTTTATAATTGTTTAATTTTTATATCCATCAAAACATTTACAAAATTTTTATTCTTTTTTTTTTTTCACTTCTGATTTAAAAACAAACGCTTAATGTGATGAGAAGTTTGGTTGTTGTGTGTCTTGTCTTCATAGTCCTTATAAATAAATACGTAAATCAAGATAAATTAGATAAAAAGTCTTCTAAAATAAAATAAGAATGTAGCTTGTAATATTTGAACTAAAATCTAATTCATTTTGGTATGTAAAATTTTTAATAGCTTCGATGAAAGGAAGTTGGTTTTATTCGTTTTAGAAATATGGAGTGGCAAACTACTAAAAGATGGGATTTTGAAGGTGTTTTCTTTTTAATTTCTCAAATCTAAAATTAATTTATTTAGTCCCTCAAATTAATAATAGTAATAATAATAAAATTAAAAAAAAAACGATTATCCCTTAGCGAAGCACATGCTAACCACAAAAACAACCACAGAACAAAACATCATTATTAGTTGTAGTAAAAAATAATTAAGGTAAATTTAAATAACTACTCATCATGTTACATCCCAACGGCTACATTTTCTCCCTTCTCCCACCCATAAATCACAATCATTTCTTTCACACAACGGTCAAATTTCCATTTCACCAAAACTCACACCATTTGAAAACAGAAACATAACAGACACTATATTATGCTACGTTCTTTATTACCATTCTAATTTCCACTTTTATTGCAATGGACGCTGCTAAAACGGTTCAGCATGTCACCAAGAAAAGTTCCGATCAACTGCTCATGAAGTTTGCTGAAGTCGCTCACTCTAACAACGCCCCAAACAAGAAAAAGCCCAAGAGAGCGGAGGCTGCCGCCGCCACAGCCGCCTTGGTTGAGCGGAGGTCGCTTCTTCCGTCCGCCGCGGCCACGCGGAAGACTGCGTTGCTCCGCCAGATTGGGATTGGGAGGGCCCACATCGTCAGGACTAGGGATTTCAAAAACAAGTCGCTGTTGGGAAGCATTGAGAAGGTAAGGGAATCCTTCGATTGTATCGTATTAGGGTTTTCTATGGTTTTAATATTTTTACACATTCATGAAAAAAAAAAAAACAGTAAAATAAATTATTATTTTTGGTGACATTGATTAGGAGGTTTTGTTCTTCTTCTGGTTGGGTTTGCACCAATTCTATTCTCTTATTTGAATAAGGAATATAGAAAAAACAAAATAAGAAAATTATTATTTCATTTAAACAATTTTTTTAAGAGATTGTGTCCTCAATTAAAATGGATTTAGATATTGTCCTTTTATAGTATGAATAACAAACATTTGGTTATCAAATCCTAACTATTTATGATATTTATTACTTACTAACATATGTTGTTGCAATAAAAATATTCTATATTGTTTGTTTCCTAGTTTTAGATAAGTTTTATTTTTATTTAGATTATGTAATAAAATATAATGAAAAAGCCTTTTTAGAGAATCAATTTAAAAAAAATATGTCAAATATAAAGTAAAAATAAAAAAATCACCATTTTGAATCCATCTTTTTCTTTGTCATTTCCAACAAAACACCATTGATTTTAAAATTTCTGAATTTTAAAAAGTAAAAGTGAAAGATTGATTTTTTAATTTTTGTTCTCTTATATGTTTACCAAAGACGAGTTATTATTCTTTCGATTGAAATTTTGTTTATAAATTAATTGAGACAATACGAAGAGAAAGAAAGTTATTATTATGTTCTTCAATGATACGCGTGAAAAACTGAATACGAATCCCATAGTTCTTTTTCAACTACTTTTCTCTCTTATCTCAAACCATTTAAACAAAAAAAAGAGTAGGAAAATTAATTTAAATGGTGCAAATCAATCTTGAAGTGAAGTTGTGAGAATGAAGGTTGATGGAGGTTTGAATGAATGAATAATTTTGTGAATGTGTCTCACGTCTTAATAGCTTTGGATAACTGGTCTTTTTCATTGCATCTTGGTGTAGACATGGCGAAGAACCATAGAAGGGGCTTCAAGAGCTTTCATGGAGAGGCACTATCATCGCCATAAACGTTTGATCAATGATTTTGTTTAGAATCTTCCACCTTGCTTCGTCACTCTCAATGTATATTACTCTAACAAAAGTTCTTGTCAACTCATGCTATTATTGCATCAAAACCAATCATTTATTTTTTATTACATTTTCCCTTTTATGGTGAAAACCATAAAAATTGTTTAACTTGTATTATTCGTGTATTCATTGATTATTTAATAAAAATTGAGAATTTTCTCATTTTCTTTCCCTCAAAAAAATCATTCTTTCAAATGAAAGATTATGTTATTGTTGTTTTTATAACTAAAGGATAGATTCGGTATTAAATTTGTGATAAGAGATTCAAGGTCCAAAATTTAGATTGGGCCTTACCATTTTAAGGTTTTGAAAGTTTGACCCAAGTTTGTAACATATATGCAATAATATGTTAACATAACTTAATTTATTAATAAAAGGTATAACAAGGGCTAATATTTACATTATTATTATTATTATTATAGACATTTTGAAAATTTTATTGATGTGAATGGCAAATTATTTTGTTAATTTTAGAAACTTGTGTGAAGGTGTATGCAGTGTTGATGATTGAAGGTGATGTTTACCCTAATTAAAAAAAAGAGTTGGAAAAGAGAAGAAAATCTTAGTATTGTAAGGAGTATTTGAGGCAGAAAAGAGGGATTGGGTAGAAGATAGGTGAAGAAGCATAGTTTAGGGTTGGAAAATGGAAAAGAAAAAGAGTTTTGTGGGTGAGCAATGAATGAGTGTGGGATGTGACAAGCATGTGAGAATGAAAAAGAAAGAGAGAGAATTATTTTTGGGGGATGAAATGAAATGGTCCATGCCTCCTATGTACCAACCACAAACCTTTAATGCAACTGTGTGAGTTAGGGCCACTTCACATGCCACATGAGTGTATCTCACTTTTCCATTCTCCTTTCCAAAACTACTTCCTCTCTACCCTACCAATGCCATTTTCCTCCTTTAATCCTTCCAAACATGTTGCATAATTTATAACCCACAACTACTCAATTACAGGTGTCCCTCTTAATTTTTTTTTTTTTATGAATTTAAGTTTAACATGTATTTAAATTATACTAATTATACAAGGTAAACGATATTAAACTTTCAATACATTCTTCAACAAAGTCTATCCAACCATACAACGAAAGGACAATTCACAATTCTTAATCTAAAACAATAATCGATAAATTTTTGATCTAATATTATATTAAGATTTTAACATAAAATCAATTAACTATATATAAATATAGTCTAATATGTATTTAAAATATATCATGAAATAGAAAATCACGTGGAACTTCCATTAAAAAAAATTACTGTCTCAGGTGTTTTTTTGGTTTTAAACTCGTAATAATAATGTAAAAAAAGTTTTATATAAAATAATTATTTTTCTTAGGGTTTTGGGTGAATAGCACAAAGTTGTGGCTCATGTTCATACTACGACCTCAAATAATTTATGCAAAAAAAGCAATCATTGGAGGGAAAATTTAATGACCCGATACCCTTTCGGCCTATCCATTTGACTAAGCAACAAAAACATAACTAGAATCAAGCAACATACAAAATTCCGAAAATCTTTCTGTCTTTACAAACATGCCTCATATTTTGAAATCATCAAATCTTGTAATCTACTGCATCCATTCTTCAATGGCCGTGTTATAAAATTGTTGTGTAATTTAAGTTTATGAACTTAAATAAAATTGTTGTTACCTGGGTTGAAAGAACCTTTGAGCTTGTTTTTGACAGTTTCAAATTCAAATAGGTATTACACAGAAAGAAAATATTTGTAAATGACTCTTCAATATATAATATATAAGCCATAATGTGAACTAGTACATACAAAAATTAAAGTGAGGAAAGAGATATGTTAACATTTACATAAGTATTTTACTCACTAGATATTTCAGATATTATATTTCAAATATCTTAAATAAGATAGTAAAATGGATTAATCCATATCCGTTATTTTAATCCGTTTTTACTTTAAATCATTATATAATAAAAATAATATGGGATAAGTTAATTCATCATAATCAAAATCAAATACAGTGTACCTATCAATAATTATATATATATATATATATATATTATAAAAATATTTTTAATTATATAAATAAATTTTTATTTATTAATTAATATTTTTATTAAATAAATTAAAAAATATATTATTTTTATATATTAAAATAATTAATTATAATTAATAATTAAAATATAATTAATTACTTTTTATAATTTAAATAATAATATATTTATATATTTTAATAATATAAACAAATATTTTTAATTATAATATTTTTATTTTAATTTAAATATATAAATATTTTTTTAAAATGGATTAAAGTAAAAATTCAACCCATTCCAATTTTAATTAACATCGAAGGATGCGATGAATCATGTATCATTAATGTGGTGTAATTTTCAATTTCAAATATCTAAGATATATTTGTCATGTCACACTATCATATAGTTATCAAAATTATAAAAATAAATGTATACACAAGTTTAAAGGATAAATAAGTTTGAATATAATTATGTTGTGAATTTGATCAGAAAAACAAACTAATGATAAATGGAAAAAATATTAATAATTTAGGGAGAATTTTAAACATAATTTAGTTTTCTTTTTAAATTTTGTTCATTTATAACACTATATATGTAATTCACTTATTTATTATCACCTTACTTTTTTATTTTTTTTATTTTTTTAAAGGGATTACCTTAATTTCTTAAAAATATGAAACTAATAAATTGTTTAAGAATTTCTGTAGAAAGATATTTTACCTATTTTTTAAAAAATATTTTAATGGTAAATAATTAAAATGTTATATAATTTGTTTAGTTATAAACCCTCAAAAGTAGTCGTAGTTTTCATATTTTTTAAAGGCGTGATGGTAGAAATATATTTTTTAAAATACATTTTAATGTAAAGTAATTAAAAGAGAAATATTTTGCATCTTAACTTTTTTTTTATCATAAAATATAATGAATTAAATGATAGTTATTAGATTTTCAAGAATGTTAACATAAAGAGTAACTTTCATAGAGTTAATACGAGGGTAACTTGTTCCTTTTTAAAGTTTTGTTTTAGTTTTTGTAAAAAAAAATGTTGTTCATCTTTTTTTAGTTGTACTATTTTTAGTTCTAAAAATGACTTAGATATAGCTTAATAGATGGACAAAAAATGATTTATATAATTTTTTATATAGACAGAAAAAAATGATTTCGATAGTGTTGTGAGAGAGTAAAAATGATATATTTCAAAATTAAAAGAAGAAAAAAATGACAATTTTTCTAAAGAAATTAAAATCAAACTTTGAAAAACTTTCAAAATATCAAAAACACATTTTATTATTTAAAGATATATCTAAGAATTAAAATTAAATTTGAACACTAAAGAGTGAGACATAATAATAAATAACTATTTTTACGTAAAAAATAAATAACTTAAATCCTTTACATATATGACAAGACTTTGGATCCTTCCCTATTAAAGCAAATGTTAATATATTTTAACAGGTTAATTTGACAAAATATTGAGACATTTAAACCATATTTTAATTTTACCCCTAATTTGTCCACATTCTAAATTCTAGAACTTATTTTATACCTTTCTATGTTTTGTTTTTCTTTTATTTGATTATATTATCTATTTGATTTATTATTTCCTATTCTCCTACACACCTGTGTCTACTTCTGCTGTAGAACCTGTTAAAATATGAGACATTTTCAATTTCCATAACAAATTCAACAAAAGGAAAGATGATACGCCATTATTTCTTCTTCTTCTTCTTCTTCTTCTTCTCCGTCTTCATCATCTAAAATCAAATCAAAGTCAAACAGAGGCATGATTCAACTTTCCTCTCCTTCAACTCTTCAACCCTTTCTTCACTCTTTTCAGACAAAGTTCCCTCCTTTTCTCCCTTCTATCAGTAACAAATAACCCCACAATTCCGCCATCTCAAATCAATCTTCTCTCTCTCTTTTTTCACAACACAAACAAACAAAACACCATTCATTATGTACAAGCCGCCAACACCATGTATTTAACCATTCTTCTTCACCAATTCTGACAGAATCAACTCTCTCCTTCACTTCCTTCTCTTCTCCACTCTCAGATTACCAGATCCTCTCCCATTTCATTTTTTTTTTTCCAATTCTCTCTCTACAAATCGAACAATCCTCAAAAGATTCTCTTCACATCATAATTCACACCCAGTCCTGTCTCCTCCTTAATTTCCCTGCCCACCAATTCCGTCTTCCAAAGTTCCAAACTTTTCCCCTCCCATCACCGAAAACCTCGAGAATCACCCTCTCTCCCATCTGGGTGCATCTCATTGTTCAATTTCCACACCCCTCTCTCCCTGGGTTCTTCGCGTTCTTATTCTGGGGATCCGTGAGAGAGGGAAATGTGGGATGTTTTCGTGGCTGGCAAGGATAGTGTCGGCTTGCTTGAGACCGGTGAGGCGATATGCGCGTATGAGCAAGGATGATTTCGACGACGCTGCCGCCGCCAGCGACGCGCTCGTGTGGCACCGGGACCTCGAGAAGCACTCGTGCGGCGAGTTCTCCTTCGCTGTCGTGCAGGCCAACGAAGTCATCGAGGATCAAAGCCAGGTAGAGACCGGCGCCGACGCTGTCTTCGTCGGCGTCTACGATGGACACGGCGGCGCTGAAGCCTCGCGCTTCATCAACGATCACCTCTTCCATAATCTCATGAGTCAGTCTCCTTTCCTTCCTTTCTCAATTGACCAACAACAACCGCACTTAAGAAAAATAATGTTTTTTAGGTTCTCTAATTTCAGTTCACCATGGTCAAGTTTCCATATCTTCCGTATCGATGAATTTAGTTTCCAATCTTTAAGAAATTAGTAGATTTAATTTCTTTCTAAAAATTCTTTATAGTTTTTGAAGTTTAGAGGAGTAAATTTGCATATTTTTCCATGTTTAAACACGAAATTTATCAATTTGAAACCAAAGGACCTTTCTATTTTCTTGAATTAAAAATATGGACACTAAAAACACAGTTTTTTAACAAAAAAATAATGTTATGGATATCATTGAGTAAATAGATTACTTGATGTGAGGTAATTATAGTTTAATAAGTGATGTTGAGATCAAGTGATTTAATGCTCGATTGGGGGAGCTGTGTTGAGTGTAACAGTTGGTTATCACTCATGCAGGATGGGTTAGCGTAGAGAATATTCTTGTTTTTGTAACAAAAAATAAGGTTAAGGGTTTGTTTTGGGGCTATTTGTCGTTGATTTGGGGGAGGGTTGATCAATGTTGATATTTTGGACGTTTTTGGTTGCTTGAGATTATGGGTCTTTTGGTGTTATTTGGAGGGACCTTTAGTTTGGCTTATGTGTTTCTGGTTGGCCAGTTCTGTTGTTGGTTTGTAAGTTTTTTTGCTTGCTTTTGCGGCTACGAGAATCTGAGGAAAATTCAATTTGCTGTCAGAAGAATAGATAGGATTAGGAGGTGGGGTTTGTTTTTTTTTTTCTTTTCTTTTCTTTTTGGTTTTTGGGTGGTATTCTTTGGAAGTAATCATTATTGAATTTGGATGTGTATATATTGTACATGTCCTACAGAGGACAGGGGAAGTTTTTTCTTAAAAATTGAACCTTTTCACTTATCATGTAGTTCTTCCTCAATTCAACTTGGTTTTGTGGACGTGTTAATTTTCCGCTTTTATATCAATCAATCATATGCCATTTTTTTTTTGTCTTTTGAGTAAATACAGTTTTATATTTTATGGTTTGCTTTGTTGTGGGAGTGGCAATGGAGAATGTTGAATATAGAGAAAATAGGGTTTGAAATTAATTTCCTTTGTGTATAAATCACACATAGGGTGGTCTATTTATAGTAGAGAGATACAACTAAAAGAGTAACTGAAAGTAACAGAATAAACAGAAGATATTGTTTGATATTGTGGTTACCAATATCTAACAATATCTTAACAATATCAAATAATATCTAAACAATATCTAACACTCCCCCTCAAGCTGGAGCATACAAATCGTATGTGCCAAGCTTGTTACAAATATAATCAATTCTAGGACCCAGTAAAGATTTAGTAAAAATATCTGCTAACTGATCACTTGAGTTAACAAACTCAGTCTTGATATCTCCAGACATAATCTTTTCTCGAATAAAATGACAGTCAATCTCAATGTGTTTGGTCCTCTCATGAAAGACAGGATTAAAACTAATATGAAGAGCAAGCTGATTATCACACACAAGTGTCATTTGAGTGACATCTCCAAATTGTAACTCTCTAAGCAATTGCTTGAGCCAAACAAGTTCACAGGAAGTCGAGGCCATAGCTCTATATTCTGCTTCTGCACTCGGATCTTGCCACGACACTTTGTTTCTTACTTTTCCATGAGATCAAGTTACCACCAATGGAGACACAATATCTAGATGTAGATCTTCTATCCGAAGGAGATCCTGCCCAATCAGCATCCGAGTAGCAAACAACTCTTGTATGGTTATTAGAAACATATAACAATCCTTTTCCAGGAGATCCTTTAATATACTTCAAGATACGAATGATCGCATTCCAATGATCTTCACATGGTGAATTAAGAAATTGACTTACCACACTTGACTGCAAAGGAAATGTCGGGACGAGTAACTGTAAGATAATTCAATTTTCCAACCAATCTTCTATACTACTCAGGATCAGATATAGGCTCCCCCGATTTGGTAGAAGTTTAGTATTGGGATCCATGGGTGTATCAACGAGACTTTGAACTCATCAACCCAGTTTCCTCCAAAATATCTATGGCATACTTCCTCCGAGATATAACAATACCATCATTGGACTGTGCCACCTCAATACCCAAGAAATATCTAAGTTTGCCAAGATCTTTGGTCCGAAAATGGTGACAGAGATGTTGTTTCAACCGAGAGATGCCATGGTTGTCACTACCTGTAAGAACAATGTCATCAACATATACTATCAAGTAAACACATCCAAGCACTCGAGTGTCGATAAAAGACAGAGTGATCTGCTTCACACCGAGTCATACCAAATTGTTGAACAACCTTGCTAAACTTTCCAAACCAGGCCCTAGGAGATTGTTTTAGGCCATATAGGGATTTGCGAAGACGACATACCATCCCAGAAGACTCCCCCTGAGCAACAAACCCAGGAGGTTGCTCCATATAGATTTCTTCTTGCAAATCACCATTGAGGAAAGCATTTTTAACATCTAGTTGATAAAGATGCCATTGTTGAAGAGCGGCCATGGCGATAAATAAACGAACAGAAGTCATCTTTGCCACAGGGGAAAAGGTATCTCCATAATCCAATCCAAAAATTTGAGTATAACTTTGGCCACAAGACGTGCTTTGAGGCGATCAATAGTACCATCAGGTCCAACTTTGATAGCAAACACCCACCTGCAACCAACAACAGATTTCCCAGACGGTAACGAGACCAATTCCCAAGTTCCACTATTATGAAGAGCACTTAGTTCATCTAACATGGCCTGACGCCAACCAGGATGGGCTAAAGCTTTACGGACAGTTTTTGGAATGGTCACAGAAGAAAGAGAGGAAAGACATGTATAAAAAGGTAATGACAGTCGATGATAACTCAAAGCAATATAATGAGGAGAGGGATTACGTGTAGAACGAATACCTTTTCGAAGGGCAATGGGAAGGTCAGACTCATGTGTCAGATCCGGAGGAGACAGAGTAGTTGGCACTTGAGTAGAGTCACATGGTGGTGGTTGTGATTGGTTTCGAGAACTATAAATGCGAAGAGGCGGTGGAGAAGAAGGCGATCGCGGAGCGAGGAACTAATGGTGAAGAAGACACAGTTAGAGGGTCACAAACAACGGGAACATTAAATGTATTAGGAGTGTTGACAAGATTGGATGGAGACAGAGGTGAAGTTTGACTTTTAAAATAAAGAGACAACTCATTAAAGGTGACATCTTTTGACACAAAATAACGGTTAAGAGAAGGAGAAAAACATTTGTATCCTTTTTGTGATCTTGTAAACCCTAAGAAAACACATTTATGTGATCTAGGAGAAAGTTTGTCCAGACCAGAACTGAAATTATGAACAAAACATGTAGACCAGAAAACTTTTAGAGGTAAAGGATGAAGTGGTTCATGAGGGAATAAAATGGAATGAGGTATTTTATTATCTAAAACCGAAGAAGGCATGCGATTAATGAGATAACATGCGGTAAGAAGAGCATCACCCCAAAAATGTTGAGGAATATCTCCATGAATTAAAAGTGTGCGAGTTGTTTCAATAAGATGTCTATTTTTACGTTCAGCTACACCATTTTGTTGAGGTGTATATGCACAAGAAGTTTGATGCAAAATACCGTGAGAAGCCATGAATTGTTTAAAAGAATGAGAAAGATATTCACGGCCATTATCACTACGCAAAACTCTAATAGAAACACCGAACTGAGTTTGAATTTCATTAAAAAAAGTTTGAAAGATATGAAATAATTCAGAACGATTTTTCATCAAAAATAACCAAGTGCATCCGGAATAATCATCAATGAAAGTAACAAAGTATTGAAAACCTAAAGTAGACTTAACGCGGCTAGGTCCCCAAATGTCGAGTGAACCACGGCAAAAGGGGACGAAGCACCACGTGTGAAACTACGAGGAAAGGAAGTACGACTATGCTTGCCTAATTGACATGACTCACACGCCAAACTAGATAAGTTGGACAAGGCGGGGACAAGTTTACGTAACTTGGCAAGACTTGGATGACCTAACCGAGCATGAAGAAGAGAGGGAGACTCCATAATTGTACTAACATGTGTAGAGGGACGGAGATAATAAAGACCATGAGACTCACATCCTGTGCCAATCACCTGTTTCGAACTCCGATCCTGTAAACACACAGAATTATTGGTAAAAGTAACAACACAATCAAGAGAACGAGTTAGACGACTGATGGACAACAGGTTAAAAGGAGACCCAGGGACATAAAGAACATTATCAATGGTTAAAGAAGGAAAAAGTTTAACCGTTCCAACACCATGAGATGATACTCTAGAGCCATCAGCCGAGTGTAACGAAGGTAAATGATTAGGAGAGGATAAAGAGGAGAACAAAGATTTGTTACCGAGTAATATGATCGGTGGCTCCTGAATCAAAAACCCAAGGACCAGGAGAAAATGATTGGGTCGGACCAACGAAAATATGTATTTGTATGTGTGACAGATATAGTGGAACTAGAAGACTGTTGATCCTTATACCATTCGAGAAATTTGTTGAACATAGCAGACATGTCGGATGCAACAAAAGAAGGAAGATCCCCTGCAGATAAAGGTGGGGAAAGATTTGTCTGAACAACTACAGCAGACTGAGGATGACGATCATGTAATGTATAACACTTGTTAATCTTGTGACCTAACTTGCCACAATGTTCACACTTAGGACGCCCTTTTTCCTGTTTGCGAGGGCGAGCCCGGTCATCATGATGGGATGTCAACACAAAAGAATCGTTAACAAAATTGGAAATAGTGGAAGAAGTCATGAAGAGCGGGAGAACAAACCCAACTCCGATAGTGGTGATTTCAATGGCACGGTGGTCACCTGACCGAGACAAGCAAAATCATATGTCACCGGTAAAAAAATGAAACTCCGGCGAATTCTCTGACAGCGGCGGACCCGGTGACTGCTCCAGCGGCAGCGGTGACGATAACGTGAACTAGTACACCAGGTAAGTTCCCAGGAAAGAGAGGTGGGTCACTAATGGACACACTTAAATACCAAGTCTTTCCTTGCCGGAACTTTCCTAAACATGCACTTTCACACTACCAAATAAAATTCAATGACAAAGATAATTCTTTTCTGATGTGGAGGATCAGTTTACCAGCAGCAGTGGGGCGGCTCTAGCAGCGGTGGGGCGACTCCAACAGTGGACAAAAGGCGGAAAAAAAAATTCAAGATAACCTTAAGCTCTAGATACTATGTTGAATATAGAGAAAATAGGGTTTGAAATTAATTTCCCTTGTGTATAAATCACACATAGGGTGGTCTATTTATAGTAGAGAGATACAACTAAAAGAGTAACTGAAAGTAACAGAATAAACAGAAGATATTGTTTGATATTGTGGTTACCAATATCTAACAATATCTTAACAATATCAAATAATATCTAAACAATATCTAACAGAGAAGATGGAAAACTTTTAATGAAGATTACGTTACTCATACAATCAAGGCTCACACTCGACCGAGTAGACCCTTACCATAGTGTGTCATTTGAAATTAGTATGATTTTTTTCATTTCTGTAATTTGGAGTGCTAGGATTAGGGAACATGATGCTTCTCTTCAAAATATTTGAAAAATTGGCTCTCGTAGCATGGTATGATTAAGTTGGCCAAGCAAATTATTGATTTACCTACTGATTCTGGATTGATATGGTTTATGAAATTCCATATTCTCAGGTTTTAATCTCTCATTTTTTTTTCACACCTAAATTAATAGGTTCAGGCTCATTTAGTTATGCATATATTTTTATCAACCAACCTTTTTTTTTTTTTTTTTTTTCTAATTCTTATTTATTATGTGTATGCTTGATACTGCATTGGTTTAGGAAGTTGTATAAGTTTTATGTTTAATCTCATTGCAGGGGTTGCTCAAGAAAATGGTTCTATGTCTGAAGATATTATCAGAAATGCTGTTTCTGCTACTGAGGATGGGTTTCTGACTCTTGTTCGAAGGAGTTATGGAATAAAGCCATTGATAGCAGCCATGGGTTCTTGTTGTCTGGTTGGTGTTATCTGGAAAGGAACACTATATATTGCAAATCTCGGAGACTCCCGTGCTGTGATCGGTTCTGTAGGTAGATCAAACAAGATCGTTGCTGAACAGTTGACCAAAGAGCACAATGCTAGCAAAGAGGAGGTTAGACGAGAACTCAGGTCTTTGCATCCAGAAGATTCGCAAATTGTAGTTATGAAGCAAGGAACCTGGCGCATTAAAGGCATCATCCAGGTTTTCTTATCTCGTTAGAAATAAATTTCTGTTAATGGTTTATGCTACTGTTGTTGCTGCCTCTGTTGATCTGCTTTGCCTCTGTTATGTATAACATTTTTTCCTTGTGTCGATCACCTTCCTTATATGGTTCTATGTTTGGTTTCATACCCTTTTCTTCGTTTATACAAATCATATTTTGGAAAAAACTTGTTTTCAGTTCTTTTCTGACAAATACTTGCTCAAGTGTTTTGGTAGAGATTGTGAAAACATTTATGATCTGTGTGTAAGCTTGTTTCAACAAGCCCTCTAGGCTAGGTTGTTAAAACACCTTCCAACTTATATATAAACTACTTATCCTTATTCTCTATTTGATTATAGAAACAACTACTATACATAATCACATTGTACATAATATATGATAAACAATTATTCTGTAAGTGCTGAGCTATTTACTCAAAGGAGCCTTTTGTAGCAAAATTAAATTGTGACTCACTTGCTGATCTTGCATTTGCTTATGCAATTGATTTGACAATTTATAATGAGAGACCTACTGTGTTGGTTGGGTTTGCTCATTGTAACTCAAGTTTTCTTGTCCACCCCACAACCGAGATCAGGTATCAAGATCCATAGGAGATGCATATTTGAAACGCCCGGAGTTCTCGTTCGATCCATCGTTCCCGCGGTTCCACCTGCCTGAACCTATCCGCCGACCTGTGCTAACAGCAGAACCCTCCATATGTTCAAGAGTTTTAAGACCTAATGATAAGTTCATTATCTTTGCATCTGATGGACTTTGGGAGCATTTGACAAACCAGGAAGCTGCTGAGATTGTTCATAACAATCCAAGAACCGTAAGATGCTTTTCTCACACGTCCTTTTCCCTTCAATCATCTCTTTCCTTGTATATGAAAAACCATCAAGTTTTTGTTATTGCATGATAGCAACGCACTTCTAACACACTCTGTTAAACACCAGGGGATTGCAAGAAGACTTCTTATGGCGGCTTTGAACGAGGCAGCTAGGAAAAGGGAAATGAGATATAAAGACCTTCAGAAGATTGGAAAGGGGATTAGGCGTTTCTTCCATGATGATATCACAGTGGTTGTTGTCTTCATTGACCATGAGTTGGGTAGCAAGAAGGTTACAGTTCCTGAGTTGTCCATCAAAGGGTTTATTGACACAGTTGGACCATCAAATTTTAGAAATTTGCGGGGATTGGAATGATCACAAGGTTCATTTCAAGAACTGTAGCCTATAAACTTGACTGGCTCTGCTTCATTGTCCAAAAGGAAGCTAAAAGAAATTCATACTTCGTTAGACATTTTTGCAGCATCTAATTGTTGTTTATCTCGAACATTAAACTTAACTTTCAAGTTCTAAACTATACCTTGTCTATTGAAAACACCTTTGCTGGTGATAAATTAGAGAAACCATGTTTTTCTCATGTTTTTTCTCTTGATTGTTGGTGCTACACTTTGCAGTGTGATCATTTATATACCGTTCGTTATACCTTGTTTGATCGAATAATGTTGATAATCTAAAGCATAGATTTAAGTACGTGTTTGGATTAGATTCAATTTTTCCATAATTGATTCCAAATTCATGTTGAAAGTGAAGATAACAAATAGTTGCTTCAACTTCTGCAATTAATTCTCCATGCTCATTGTTTAACAATTTATTTGCGAACAACATTTGTACCCACAAAAACTTTGATATCGTACATCAACTCACTTTGTGTCATGTATCAAATAAACAAAAGATAGTTTAAGTGAAGGGGTAAGTTTTGATGATCATACAATGTTGTAACTTGTGAATCTAAGGATTCTTTTAAGACCACACACTCTTTTCCTCACTCGTCAACTCACATTTCCCTACCATAACCTTTCATTCATGTTAGAGAATCAATTCAGATTGTCATGTTATGTGCTCAATTTTTATACTCATTAGTTCAACAATATTCCAATAGTTTTATACAAAATTTAAATGTGTCTTATTCTATTTTAAATAACTTTTCTCACATAACTTCATTTTAAATACTTTATTATATTTTTATAAATTGTTTTAATAATGATATCTTATAATAATCCATATTTTTATTTGTATTTTAGTTTTTTTACAACTCAACTAATTAATTTTATATTTTATTGTGAAGACCCAGAAGTAAATTGAAATAAGTCTTTTATTATTCAAATTTAGAGTCTTATATAATAACTCTACTTTTTAGTTTTAATACCCTTATCATCATGTCATATCAGTTTGTTTGAACTCGAGTTTCTAATAAAACGTGTATCATAAATTTAATATTCCTTTAACGATTTTTGCATTGAAGATATTCTAATAAATTTATGTAAAATATAATATAAATTAATTAAAATAAGAGTTATTGGTATATTATTTAATAATCAACATTTAAATACATTTTAAATAACATTATATATATATATATATATATATATATACTATATATATATATATATAGATATATTTCACATAGGAAGTTTATTGATATATTATTTAACAATAAATATTTACTTATATTTTAAATTATACATTTCTCGTTAAAATAAAATGGTAAGACCAAGTGACAAGTTTTTGATTTATACGAAAACTTATAAACTTGATCTATTTTGTAAGATCTTTTTAATTTGATGGTAGATTTTTAATTTTATATTCAACACTGTTCATATCTGGTTAGACTTGAACGACTCATATATAATCACATTTCAACGTCCATAGTTCATGGAAATTACTCAAAAAAAAGCTATTAGAATATAGTGAAATATAGTGAAAATGGATTTATAGAAGATTAAGCTCAACTTTACATTTGTTTTTATGTTAATGTTAGTAAGTAATTATGTATTTTTGAGGTTTTTGTTCTGCTTTTTGCTATTTCTGGTAAGTTACTTTGTGTTAGCCTTGTTTATTACGAATTTACCTTCCTTAATACCAGTTTTCTTTTTAGACTTTGCAACCTCTTTCAGCTAAATTGTGATCTCAATCTCTTATCCTGTGTGTGGTTGGTGAGCTTCGTTCTCTAATTCTCATACGTGGCAAGTTGTTATTCTTCTGTATAGCTTTATTGTGTGACTGGGATGGCGGAAAATCATGCTGTTCATATGATCCATTTTTTAATTTCTTCAGGAAAAAACTACCAGAGACAAATGGAAAAACTGCAATAGCTTTTATTATGATATCACATGCAAAGTTGGCAAAATATCAATTATATTATGATAAAAGATTGACCCGTGAACAACAATGACTCCTTCGTTCACAGAACAATAAATCAAATACATACCACTATTCTAATAAAAATACTTAGGAGAATTTGATTCAACCAAAAAGCAAATCAATGACAATACACAGCTCTTCTACAACAAAATGGTAATGAAAAGAAGAAAAAAACAAAAAAGAATTTATTATCATGCTTTGCTTTAATGCTCTTATCCCAAAATATCAATAAAGGAAAACACAAAATCATGGTTAAAAAATGGTAAAGAATACAAAATGAAACCTCCTCAACCAGTTTATGGTATTTCTGTAGTACGGAGTGTATATTAAAATGTCCTGGACTCAGCATCCTTAGAAGCATTTCCTGTGGACGATTGAGGGGCCTGATTCATCATATTCTGCCTTTGCAATCCACATCTGTTATCAAGAAAGAAAAGGATATCATGAATACATGGAAGTGTTATCAGAAAAAAGGATAAGATCAGTACTAAGATTGTGTTTTACACAACTGCTTTTGGTTCTTTTCTTAAAGTGGACAAGTTGAACCAAACACAATTGTAAAATAAAACTAAATTTTATGAAAAAACCTTTAGAGAAGCTTCTTTTTTTCAGAAAGAAGTTAAAAAAAGTTGTTCCATTATCATACTCAAAAATAAGCCTTACAAACTAGATTGGTCTCACATCCATTTTAATTTAAACCAGTTTCCTTTCCCTTTAACTGAGTGTTATGTTGCTTCTCTTTTCCCTTAATTATATTGGTGTCTGCATATTCTTCAAATAGAACTCCCTGCTTAATTTCCTGTATCATCTATACAAAAGCCCCACAAATTTCATTCACATGTAATTGAGGCAAAGTGCTGTACCTGTTGGAAGGTGCTGAGGGATGCCAAAATGGAGCCTCCAATCCAGACACTGTACTTCCTCTCTGGTGGTGCCACCACCTTAATTTTCATGCTGCTAGGCGCCAATGCTGTGATCTCCTTGCTCATCCTATCAGCAATGCCAGGGAACATTGTTGAACCACCACTCAACACAATGTTACCATAAAGATCCTTCCTGATGTCAACATCACACTTCATGATGGAGTTGTATGTGGTTTCATGAATGCCAGCAGATTCCATCCCAATCATGGATGGCTGGAAGAGAACTTCAGGGCAACGGAACCTTTCGGCGCCAATGGTGATCACCTGTCCATCAGGTAGCTCATAGCTCTTCTCAACAGCTGAGCTTGTTTTTGCTGTTTCTAGCTCTTGCTCATAGTCAAGAGCAATATAGGCTAATTTCTCCTTAACATCTCTCACAATTTCTCTCTCAGCTGTGGTGGTGAAAGAGTAACCACGCTCGGTTAAGATCTTCATGAGGGCATCAGTGAGATCACGCCCTGCAAGATCCAAACGCAGGATTGCATGTGGCAGGGAATAGCCTTCATAGATTGGAACTGTGTGGCTCACACCATCACCAGAGTCCAGAACAATACCTATGTGAAAGCATAAAAAGTTAAAAACCATGTTTTCAAACTATTTCAATGTCAAGCAAGTCCCTCGGATCTCATATTCTCAATTAACATTCATGACTAACTGCACTAGTAATGAAATGCATAAAATCTATGACATTATTAATATCCACAAAATAAAACGTCATTGATCAGATCAGTACATACAATTTCATTGGGGCAGTTGAACTATATTCTTTAGACTTGGAATTCTATTGAAATACAATTGAAGTGACACAACATGAACAAATGCCATGCATCATGCTTCAAAAAATCCATTTCCATTTGACAAGCTATACAGTGACAGAATATATTTTGTTGCAATATGCAAGTCCCTTGGATATCATTATCTCACTTAGCATTTATGAAAGTCTGCATTCATACAGAAATGAACAGAATGTATGACATTTTAACTCCCAGAAAAAATGTTTAAACATAAACAAATAAAACTGGATTGATTAGATTAATATATAAAATTTCATATGCACAGTTAAACTATACTCGTTAGAAAATCATCTTGATGTTCTGATCAAATAAAAGTGGCATGACATCAACAAATACCACGCATCATGCCTCAAAATGCATTTAAATATGTCCTCCAAGTCCCTTGAATCTCATAAACATTTGTGAAAATCTGCTTTCATAATGAAATGAACAAAATATATGACATTATTAATTCGCACCAACTGTTCAAAAATAACAAAATACAACTCAGTTGATTAGTACACACAAGTCATATATTATGGACATTTAACCCATACACATTTCAAATCATTATGTAATTCTGAAAAATTCACGTGGCTTGACGGCAACAAACACAAAAATATAATGCATCATGCCCCAAATCACCAGAAACCAAGAAAAGGAAGAACAGATATAGAATAATCTTTACCAGTTGTACGACCACTAGCATAGAGGGAAAGCACTGCCTGGATGGCAACATACATAGCTGGAGTGTTGAAGGTCTCAAACATAATCTGTGTCATCTTCTCACGATTGGCCTTGGGATTTAGTGGTGCTTCTGTGAGGAGAACAGGGTGCTCTTCTGGGGCCACACGTAGTTCATTGTAGAAAGTGTGATGCCAGATCTTCTCCATATCATCCCAATTGTTTACTATACCATGCTCAATAGGGTATTTCAGAGTCAAAATACCTCTCTTGGATTGAGCCTCATCACCAACATAAGCATCCTTTTGTCCCATTCCAACCATCACACCAGTGTGACGTGGACGACCCACAATGCTAGGGAAAACAGCCCTTGGAGCATCATCTCCAGCAAATCCAGCCTGCAAAATTTAAACAAATCAACACCAAAAGAGAAAGATCATCAACAACCAAAGCCTATAAGCAAAGTTTCAAAAAAGGCCTGCAATCGCCATTTCAATGATTTTGTAATCATTATAACCACATTGCAATTGCAGCTGATTTTACGCAATATCAACCATCAGGATGCCACAACAATTGCACTATCTTTTAGTTTGCAATTTCTCACAGCATTAACACGATGACAGTGCAACTGCGACCGTAATTTAAACCTTGCCTATAAAAGTTCAAAGAGGAACACACAATAATGGATTTATATATATACCTTGACCATTCCAGTTCCATTATCACAAACAAGAGGTTGGATATCCTCACCATCTGCCATCTTTTATTGAATGCTGCAAAACACACCAAACATTACAAAAACTCTCGTAAACCAAAGAAACAAAAACAAGATTAATGAATGTGTCTCATTAATATAAGATCTGGGGTTATTATATGTGTCACATGATGAAAAAGATTAGTCAAATGATAACAATTCATGATCATCACACCCAATTACAAAAGTTCTGCATTTTTAATATGATGAGAATCTCACATAAAAAAGTATTAAGGTAACGAATGTTCAAGGAGTGGAAGTTGTTATGAGATTAATTGTCACCTGCGAAGAATTGATGATGGAATGTGTGAAATAAGGATAGAAGAAAGTGGAGAATGTGTTGTGATGAATACCTTAGAATTTCCGAAATAAAGGAAGCTACGTGTACGTGACTTATGTGTCGACCTTCCTATTTTTAAGGAACGTGGCTTTGTGTGGCTCAGGTCTCAGCAGTGGCGTGGTTTAAAAAAGGAAAGTTGTGGCAAATGAAATGAGACTCAAATGAACCGCAAATGCGATTTAGGAAGATCGTGACCGTCCGTAATATCTCATCCTCGCGTGTCACGTTTATTGTTGGAATTAGCTGGCACCTTTTTCTTCCTTCCCCGCTTCTAAATAAATACATAAAAAATCGTAACTTTAAATTTTCACAGTTTATTTGGATGAAGAAAAATAACTTAACAATTTAATTAGAAAAGGGAAAGTTTTAATTTTATTTTTTTAAAGTCAAGTTTCCCTTTTATCAAATAAAAAATATAATTTTATTTTACAAAATTTATAGTTTAATTCTCTAAATTTATGCCAACAAAATAAAGACATTTTTTTTTCTGATAAAAGGGCATTCTCTTTCTGAAAATAGTAAAGTGATTCAATTCAAATTATTTTCTCCCAAGTAGTGGGAAGAGCTATTATCTTTCTTTCTTTTACTTTTCCCTACCAAATTTTTTTTTTAATCTTTCATTTTCAAAGCAATCTTCATTTTTTTTTTCATTTATTGTATTTAAAAGATGACTAAATTATGCAATGACTTCAATTATAGTACTTAAATACAAAGAATTATAAAATTTTATTACAGTAAAATAAAATTACATTGAATAACTTTATTTAGAAATGAATGGTATGGTTTGAAGTGTGGAAGGGTCCAAATGGGGCATTGTATTGATTGAGAGACAACTGTGCAAAACATGGTTCTGATTGATTAAAAAGAATGAGGTAGGTAGGGATGTTGGCATCACATTAACATGTTTATTATTATTAAACAAAATTTATTAGTTAAAGATTAAAAAAAAAACTTTTTTTTATAAAAAAAGTGTGATATTCAATAATTTTAAACATTAATATATCTTTTATCTTCCATGCAGAGTATTAAAATCTAAGAGGTTTAATTAGATATTTTAAAATACTAAAATATAATTATGATTAGAATTTAACGGTGTTTTGGAATTTTTTGGATAAAAAAAATAAAAAATTAAGCAATATATAAACAAAGAAACTTACAAGTCTAATATGTCAAGGTTTTAGATTAAAAATAAAATTGATATTCTTGTATAGTTTATTTCTTTTATAAATATCTCTTCGTTATTATCTTCTGTATGAATTTCTAATAATTGTATAATATTAAAAAATGTTTTTTTTTATCTCGTTTTATGGATTTTGAATGTTAGGGAGAAATATTGTTTATTATAAATTATTTTGTACAAATATAAAAAATGTTGTATTTGTTTTTTCAAATCTTAAACCGTGATAATAAACTACCAAGTTTTTTTTGTCTAGTTTCGTATATACTGAGGTAGTTATTTTTTATTATTGAATTAGTTTATTATTTTTACAACAAGTCATATATATATATATAAAGAAAATTCTATTTTTTTATAATTGCTTTTAATTATTTGTATGATATGTTAATATAAAGAGGATAAAGATAATATAAAAAAAAACAATTATTATAATATTATGTATTTGAAGAAAGATTAGGGAAGAAATATAGAAGGAGAACAATAAAAGTAAAGAATACACATGTGATATATATATATATTAAAAAAATAATGATTATTTTAATAATATAAAAATATAGACCTAAACATTCTCTGATTTTACTTGTGTATATAATTGTTTCATGATCAACGAATTAAAAATGTAGTTATAAATTATTTTACATAAAACAAATTAAATAGGTATCAATTATATCCGTTTTTTTATTTAAAGAATAAACACGTAAAAAGGTTCTTAATGTTACATAATCAAATAATAATTATATATAAGTTGATTATGATATATATATAAATTTTAGTTTAATTGGTTATCATTTTGTTCTTAATATCGAAATTTTTTTTTTGGTGAAATTAAAAGTTCTCTTTATCATTTATTTTGTTTTTGGTTGCATTTTATAATGTTCTTTCTTTTCTACTCAATGGATGATTGATTGAACTAGAGGTAGAGAGGACCTACTAAAAAAAAGTGAAGTTGGTAGGAGCTATTTTGAAGGGTCGCTGAAGTTGCTTTTGTTAAGTTTGGAATTTTGATTCTTGACTTTTTGGTGAGGGAGAGAGGAAGTGTGAGTAATTATGCAGACGCCAACTCATCATCACCATTGATGCGTGTTTCATTGCACTCAGAGAGCTTCGTTTTGATCCCTCCTTGTCTCTTTTTCTGGGACTCACTTGTCTTGTCACTCTTTTTTTCTTTATGTCTATTTATTCTCCTCTCAATTTTTAAGATAATCATTTTTTTTAATTTTAATTTACTCTCTTGTTAATTTTTTTATCCATTTATTAATATTAAATTTACAAGTATAAAAAGTTGTATAATTAATATTTTTTTAAAAATATATGACTATCAAGTACACAATAATATTATCTAGTTGGATTGTTTATATTAATTAAAAACATTTGAATACCTCTTTTCTTATAATTATTTATAATATATATTTATTTTAAAATTATTAATTATATACATTTTGGTATGTTGCTAGGTACAACATACTAGTTGGAAAAAGTTTCAACCAATAGTCTTAACAAATGGTGCCAACCCTTACCATAATCAATCTTCATAGCCAAAATTTGCTGTCATACATTCATTAACATAATAATAATAATAATAACATAAGTGAATTTCATCAATGAAATAAATAATAATTAAGCAAATGTTATTATTACATATATATGTTTCTTTAAATATTAAATTTCATGGTTATTTTTAAAATAAAATTAATGTTTTATGATGGTTCATATTTTATGTATTATTAATTTTTTCTTTCTCTTTATTTTTTTTTATATTTGATGAAAAATAATATTATATTGTAAAAAAAATAAATGATACAATTTTTTTTATATAATATAAATATCATCATGAATTTTTTTAGTTATATAAGATGATCAGAGCAATCTTAATAATAAAATATAAATTAATCATATTTAAGAAAATCACACCATTGACAAAAATTCTTTAATACATTTTCCATTTCTACGTTCCTAACATATGTGCCAGTGTAACATGTAATAAAAGAAAAGGGTAAATATGTAATGTTCTAAAAAACGTCTGAAAGTTATACGGGTAATAGTTTCAAAAGCTAGGGGTTTTTCTCTTTCATTTTTTGGTTCTTAGTTTCAAGATTTTGAGAAGATGAACAGGACCAACTTCACCAGACTCTTTCATTCTACTCATCTCTTGGAACGCAAACGCAAAGCCCGTACCTTTTGGGAATCCGTCAGTCACTTAAACTGCACCTCGTTTGGTTCAGCATGAATTCTTCTTCCACACCTTCTTTTTCTAACACCCGTTTTCTCGCAGAGATGCAACGATTACTCGAGAAGATTTGGAAGACTGCGTGCCAAACAAACACTGCTCCGCGATATCAATGCTTACGGGCAATTCATGTTTCAGGTTAGTATTGCCCTGCACATTTTTGCTTCCACTGTACTAGCCTTTGATTTGGGTGGGTTTTCAAGTTCTCAACAAAATAGTCTTCACAAAAATAAAATAAAAAATTGTTGGGTATATGTTAAATGTTCAAACACAACTAAGGGGCAACTACATTTTTCATCATTAACTCTTAGCACAAACAATAACATTAACTACCTTTAAGGAGTTTGTGACTGAAAAACTGCTATCATATTTATTGGGCAGTTTACCAAAGCTCATAACAGAGAAGTAACTATGTCGGTGGATTGGCAAAAACATGGGTTACGTTCGACCCAATGTTTTCCTAAACACACCTTTATTCTCTTGTAAATCAGCTGGACAACTTTGTGTCTATTTAGAAAAACTTCTCCATAAGCATTTTGAGAGAAAAAAAATGAAATCAATTTCTCCCCAAGTTAAAATTAGCTTAGGTATATTATGAGCTATTTTGTAGAAGTTATTTCCTATTGACTTCTCCAAAATCTAATTTTAACTATGTATAAGATATTTTTAGGATGTGGAGAAGGTGGTTTCCTTTTATTTTTTGTGCTTATGTAGAAGTTTCCTTCAAACAGACTCATTAATCAAAATGATTATTTCCTTCTCTTTGTTCCCTTTCCCACTCAGACAATGTTCTTCTCTACATCAAATTCCAATATCAACTATCATTTTTCCATTCCCCTATTCCATCTATGATGGTATCTTTATTTACAGAAACCATAAATCTAGGAAAAGATCGATTAAGGTTACCAGAACCAAGCCGGATATTATGCCAGAATTTAACTTGATCACCACACCTTGGCTTCCTAATTTTTTATTTATTTATTTATTTTATTTTTATATCAAAGATTTATTTTAAAGACATACCTTAGGTACAGTTCTTTACATGTCTTAGGTGTTGTTCTCTGAGGGTCATCTTGTTAATCTGTGCTAGTGATTCCACATTTAAAGTCAGAATTTTGGTTTCTCAGGTGAAACTTCAATTCTAATTGCAAAACAATACCAAAAATACCTAAAGAATTGCATCCAAGTTTTGTCCTACGTTTTATGTTATTATTTTGCGATGACTATTTTTTCATTGTGAACAGAATTTGTGGCAGACATAATTGTGCCACTGTAACTGCTTTTGCATTTGTCGAATTTGGACAATAACCTTTTATCACCTATTACTGGCTAATGTTCTTACTTCTCTGTGATATGATTTGTTTAGTGTTTGTTCACTTTGTTGTAGTGGAATCCATATAGTTTCTAGTGTTGGAAATTTGGATAAAGTTTGTATCGCTCCCCGCCCCCCCCCCCATAATGTTATATTGAAAAGTTCTTAGTAGTATTGCTTTTGTTGTACATTTCTATATAAACTCTTTTTGTCCTAGTTGTAGTCTTGTAGATGCTTCCTTTGTACGCGTTTTTTGTAAGATGTTTTATTGAATGCTTGTGCTTTGTTTTTTCTTAAACGTCTTAGAGTTGGAAAGAAGATATTGATGAGGATGGTCCTTCTCCCAGTCAAGGCCCATCATGGTTCAGAAAACACTCTGGAAGGCACTGGAATGGAAATCAAAGATCAAAACATCAGTTTAGAAGTAAGGATGCTTGCCATAGTTATGCTATAATAGATTATGACTACCTTGCAATACTGACTCTTTCGATTAGAGTTTGTTAGATATTGTTTTCTTGAAATCTTCTAACTGCATCTTGTCTGGAGAACTTTCAACTCTACTTGAGTTGGATTGCTGCAAAGAAGATTTCAGATACTGGATTCATACATTTCAATGCTCTCTTCGTTGAAGTTTGTTAGGTTAATTTGTTCGAGTTAATCTCCTACATGCAGATTGTCTGAAAAACTTTCTTTATCTACTCAGGTAGGATTTGTGGGCTTAACTAGTGGAGATGATTTTTGGTTTTAATAAGCTTTCTTGAATATGCTATATCATGTTTATGATTTTAGTGCAAAGGAGGTCTGGATATTTAGAGTTTGTTCGGGATTCATATATTTCAAGGCTCTCTTGATTAAATTTTGTTAGATGGTTTCTTTTGGGAATTCTTCTAATTGCATCTTGTGTGGAAGAATTGCATGCTTGCTTTAATAGGATTGGTGGATTTAACTAGTAGAGATCATGTAGCCCATTTGGTTTTAACTTGCATCACAAGTTTTCTAAAAATAAGCCACAATGTGCTTTTTGATTTGTAGTGCAAGAAGATTCTGGATATTATAGGGCTGCTCTGGATTCATATGTTTCAAACCAACTTGATGTCTTTCAGGAGATCATGAATTTTGCAAACGTGATTTTGATGTTGAAACTGTTATCTGCACTGCCTTTGGTGGCGATCAATCTTTCTATTGGTCCTTTATAAATGAGGAAAATCCACAGTGGAAAAGGTCAGGGGTTTTTTCTAGTTACAGAAAATCCTGGAAGGGGAGACATCGGAGTGAAAATGAGTATGGCAAATCAACTGAGGAAGAGTCAGATTGTTCATATTCAGATTCAGTTTCACATAGATTAGCCCTTGGATTGAGTGATTCTGGTCCTCTGTGTTAGAATCGCGCAGCGGAATGTTCGCGTGGTCGGACAAAAACCAAGAGGGGGGGGGGGGTGAATTGGTTACTTAATAAAAATTAGGTTTTCAAAATTTTCCCCAAATTTTACCGATTAAAAACTGCGTAAATGTAAATAGAGAAGAGTAGAGAAGATTACACAATAGGTTTATACTGGTTCGGATCAAAAGACCCTACGTCCAGTTGCTAATCACTCAAAAGAGGATTAACGCTGTCACTAAGAACAAAGTTGTTACAACACAAATTATAATGAAAAAGATAAAGTTAAAGATAAAACCTCTCTTGAAATCCACAAGAGATGATAAACAGCTTTCCCTGGAGACGGCACAGCACACAATCCACTAAGAACTCCACTTAGTGATTCTTATCGCTTCTAGCCTCACACCAAGTTTCCAAAAGCCCCGAAGAACAGTTTTCCCCGGAGACGGCACAGCACTCAATCCACTAAGAACTCCACTTAGTGATTCTTATCGCTTCTAGCCTCACACCGAGTTTCCAAAAGCCCCTAAGAACAGCTTTCCCCGGAGACGGCACAGCACTCAATCCACTAAGAACTCCACTTAGTGATTCTTATCGCTTCTAGCCTCACACCGAGTTTCCAAAAGCCCCTTTCCTTGCAACAAACAGTTCTCCGGCACTCACGACACTTAACTTTTGTATGGAAAGAGTTGTTCTTCAGTTGTTCATTGTTTACGAGTGCTAAAGCGAGTTTAAGTAGGGAAATTAGGGTTTAGGAATTGAGGATTTCGAAACTAGGGTTCTTGGTAATTGGGTTTTCGAAAATAGGGTTAATTTGAAATTTAATTTGAAAAACAGATTGAAATAATCGATTATTTGGAGTAATAATCGATTAAAACGAAGCCAAATACTTCGAACCCAACCCTCTACGGAATAATCGATTATTTGGTGAAATAATCGATTATCTGTACGGACAGTACAAAACAATCGATTCTTTTTGTTGTTTTAATCGATTAAAACAGTGAGTTTGTATAGAAAGTGTTTTCTCATCTGTTTTAATCGATTATTTACCTATATAATCGATTAAACCCGAGCTCTGAATGATAAATTTGAGCTTTTTGAAGCTTCTAAGTTACGAGACTATGTACAGGCTATCTTAGACTCTAAAAATACGAGACTCAATCTTAAATAAATCGGAGTTATTACAATACAATTATCACCAATCTTCAATCTTCAATATTCTAAGTCTTTAGTTCTTGGATCATCATCAAAATCCATTCTTCATATTCATCAAGTGCAACATCAAGTCCTTGAATTGTCAACAATCTCCCCTTTTTGATGATGATCAAAATTTTCTTTTAAAGCCCTTTGTAATAACCTGTTTTATCCGTCATACTAACAAACACATTAAACATACCGGATAAAATTTAAAATTGAATCATAGGCTTTAAATTTTTCTCCCCTATTTTGATTATAATCAAAAAGAACTCTGCAACATCAATCATAAGAGCTCCCCCTCAAAATATGCATAAGTTAGAGAAAGCTCCCCCTCAAGCATAGCATAAAAGAAACATCAAATTTTATTTCATAATCATTTATCCATTACAATAGCAAGACAATAACAAAAGAAAATACATAACAGAATTTAAAATTCTTCAACTTGTCCTCATCATTAAAGTGAGTATCAAATCTATTTTCTAATCTACCCACTCTATCATCTACATCGGATATGCGACGAATAATTTCATCATGGCGTACTCCGGAAAGATTGAAGAAAGATTGCATTCTTTGATTCATGTCGGAAAGCATATCTTCCATGGATTGTCTTGTTTCTTGATGAGACGAGGATGTTCCAACACTTTGGATTTGGTTAGAGGGAAAATTATCGAGCTGGAGGCATATCTTCATCGAGTCTTCATTTGCATCACTTTGATTTTGAACGTCATCTTTGTGAACATAGATGTCATTGACACGCACCATTTGAAGTTGAGTCAATGTCTTTGTCCAACATGCGGTTTAAGTTGTTTGTTCTAACTGCTTGCTCACCTTCAACATTCACTCCTTTATATTCAAGAATACGGGATACAAGAAGTGCATATGGAATTTTGAAGGTGTGATGACGTTTTGCTTTAAGCATGGTCATTTTGACAAGAACACCCCAATCTAAAGGTTCATTATTCATTATGGCATGAATAATTCGAAGATCAATGGAAGAGCATTGGGCATGATTCGTAGCCGGGGACATAAGATCCATACAAGTAAATGTAGAAGCATGCGTTCTTCCTTCTTTAAAGGTCCAGCATGAAGAATACGTCCAACCTCCGAGAGAAGGATTCCGCGAAAAGATCGATAAGCTAAGAACTCGTCAAAGTCATCTAGCTCACCATAAACGTTAATAACATCTTCTCTAATGGGGAAGTGAGCAACATTTTCCCAAATATCATCATCTAGAATTATGGTAACCCCTTTTACACGGGATGTAGCAATTTGATCCCTAAACTTGAATCTAGAATAGAATACCCTAACTAAGTCGGGATAGTATGTACCTTGCATTTGGATAAACGGGAGAATTCCTTGAATTTCAAGAAGATTAGGAAAATTGAAACCCCTACGAATGAATTGCTCACCTATAAGAAATTTGGGAGAAATAATAGCTTTTTCTTTCCAAGTAGGTTAGAAATTCTTGTTGACCATCTGCATCGAGAGATCCATCCTTCTACGAATTAGGACGGGAATGAGAAGAAGGTGCGAGATCTTCTTCTTGTAGGAATCTTAGGGCGAGAGGATGAGGCCATTTGAAAGAGTAGATAAACTTGAAGAGATTTTGGAGACAAGTGAGGGAATAATGAAGCAAAGAGAGTATAGATTTCAAGAAAACTTGATTACAAGAGTTAGAAGTGAGTATAATTGACCTAGATGTCTCTATTTATAGAGAAAACACTTCCAACGGTCATATAGAAAGGATTTCATGGCAAAATATCCGTTGGCAACGGCTAAGAGGCAAAGCTGAGTCGCATTTAATCGATTATATTTCAAGATAATCGATTATTTCAATATCTCGATAGCTTTAATCGATTATTTCCGAGTAAATAATCGATTATTTCGAAGGAGAATACCTGTTTTGGGCGTTTTTAAGGGAAAATAATCGATTATCACTTCCGATAATCGATTATTCCGGAGGCTATATCAAGTTTTTAAGGTTTTGGCACATTATAACCTATGAATATCCTGCATCACGAATTTAATCATAACAATCATCCAAAAACAGATCAAATTAAGCAGAATTTAAGCTATTTCTAGTATCCCTAAGTCTCTTCTAAGATCATAGAATCTATCCTTGGGTAGAGGCTTAGTAAATATATCTGCTAATTGACGTTTAGTGTCTACATACTCTATCTTACGGTTTCCTTTGCTTGATATGATCTCTTAAAAAGTGATGTCTAATCTCAATATGTTTAGTCCTAGAGTGCATTCTTGGATTTTTTGTTAAGTTGATTGCACTCGTATTATCACACATTAATGGAATGTCATTTAAATATATGCTATAATCCTCTAATTGTTGTTTCATCCACGGAATTTGAGCACAACAACTACCAGTTGCAATATATTCGACTTCGGTGGTAGATAAAGCTACACATGCTTGTTTCTTAGAGTGCCATGATATTAAGGATGAACCTAACAAATGACATGTCCCACTAGTGCTTTTCCTATCAATTTTACATCCACCATAATCGGCATCAGAATATCCTAATGAACTAATACAAGCATCGAGACGGATACCACAAGCCAAATCCGAGTAGTTCCTTTTAAGTATTTTAAAATATGTTTCTACTGCAATTAAATGAGATTCTTTAGGACAAGCACGAAATCTAGCACACACACACACAGAATGCATAATATCGAGTCTACTAGCGAGTTAAGTATAATAGTGATCCTATCATACCTCTATACATAGTTTGATTTACTTCCAAACCTGATTCATCCTTGTCTAAATAGCATGAAGTTCCCATGGGTGTGTTAGCTTCCTTAGAGGTGTCCATACCAAACTTTTTGAGAATTTCCTTGCGGTATTTAGTTTGAGAGATGAAAGTGCCATCTTTAAGTTGCTTGATTTGTAGTCCAAGGAAGAATGTCAATTCTCCCATCATAGACATTTCAAACTCTCCCTGCATTATCTTAGCAAATTCTACACATAACAAACTATCGAGTTGATCCAATAATATATCAACAAGTAACACATCTTTGATCTCCAAAGTGTTTGCACCTGCAGTTGCTCAATTGATTGCTTAAGGATGTGTGAAAACTTATATTCAATGTGAGTTTAGAAAGTTCAAGCCAAAGCTGTTTTCAATAGAAGATTTTCAAAAGCTGCTGGTTTAATTAATCTGTTAAAAGTTTCTTTTAATCGTTAAAAGTGCAGTTTTAATCTGTTAAAACATCTTTTAATCGATTAAAACGCGAGTGTAGAAAAAGTTTTTAAGTTGTTTTAATCGATTGAAACGAGTTTTTAACCGATTAAAAGAGTTCGATCGGTCATAATAAAAATCTGATCGGTCATCCGACTCGATCGGTCATAATAAAAATCTGATCGGTCATCCTGATCGATAGGTCATAATAAAAATCTGATCGGTCATCCTGACCCTTTAAGTGATTTTAATCGATTGAAACGTGTTTTTAATCGATTGAAAAATTTCGATCAGCTCATAATTAAAATCTGATCGATCACATTTGCTTCTAATCGGTCATAATTTGATTTTGATCGATCATCCGGACCCTTTAAGTAATTTTAATCGATTGAAACGTGTTTTTAATCGATTTAAACGTTCGACCGCTCATAATAACAATCTGATCGGTCAAAATGAGTTCTAAATGGTTTTAATCGATTAAAAACCAGGTTGTATTGATTAAAATGTCTGTAAAAACACTTCTTTGACCACTCTAAGTGATTTTATTTGGTTCTTTCAAAACTGCATCGATTAAAAACATGTTTTAAGAAAGCTTTTGTAAAAATACTTTATTTTGAGA